TTAGTGCTTGGCATACATTAGGTGCTTAATAAATGCTCATTGACTGACGTACTGCCAACTTAAATAAATTGCAGAGCAGATGCTTTCTGCATTTGTGAGAGGTTTTCCTCAACGGCAAACCTAGGCCAACGAATTAATATACCAGGTCCTAAAAAGGGGAGGGGGGAATGAAGATACTCTCAGACTGGGTTCGTGAGTTGACTTTGCCGAACTGTTTCTTCTAAAATCCTGTCGACGAGGAAAAGCTGAATTGAGCGGGGTGGGGTGTTTTCAAAAATGAAGACGAAGTGGGGCTTGCTAGCATGCAATAGGCGCTCACGAAATGCTTATTGACTTGATCTGGCATGTCAAGACCAAAGGGAGCGCTAAAAACTAGTGCCTGTTAACGACTGTGTGACTAAGATCCCGAAAGTCAGAGGTTTCTCTGGTTTCCTCAAGTCTCTCGGGGGTGGTCAATGTCTAAGGTTCTAAGGAGTCGAGCTCCCACGACTGCGGTGCCCGGGCAGCCTAACATGGGAGGATTCGGTATTCAGCGGCCTCCGCCCCTGGCCTGGCCCCGGTACCTGTGGCTGCGGGGCCCAAGCGCAGTGGGGCCCGCCCTTTGGGGGTACCGCGGGCGCGGATCGCCGTCCCCTGCTCCTCACAAACGCGGAGCCGGCGCAGGGCGTCCGCCAGCGCCGCCTTCAGCACGGCCAGTTCGTCCTCCTGCAGCTGCAGCCGCTGCTCCAGCGCCGACACGCGGTCGTCCACCTCCATGCCGCTCCCGGACAGACTGTCATCTAACGGACGGAAGGCAGGGTGGAGAAGGGGGCACCCCAGGCCAAACGGGCGAGCAGTCTCCCCGCCAGGCCCCCTTCGCCTCTTACACGGGGCGGGGTGGGGGGTCTTCATGGAACTGGCCTCGGAGCTGGAAGAGACCTCAGCATTCACTTGATCCAACCCCCTCCCTTTTTACAGAATAGGAAACGGAGACCCGGACAGTGAAGTGCCAGAGGCTGGATTTGAACCCAGGTCTTCTGACTTCAGACTCTGCAGTCTGAAGAGGTAGGGCCACTAAGGAAATGGGGTCGGAGAAAGGAGTGGAGAGGAAACTCGGGTTTATCTCTCATTCCTCATTCTCATCCCTACAGCCTCTGTGTTCCGTTTCGAGGACACGGGCAAGTTGGGGCCCTCTCGTGGTCTCGGTTTCCCCTTTTGGGAAACGAGAAGTCCGTCTGAAGTAGGCTGTGTCTAAGGGACCTACAATCACTGACGTTCTTAGCTTTAAGATCCGTAAAGCCTCCGATTCCATGTTCTACCCCCTCCCTCCAATACACACATATGCTCCAACCCAGAACTAGTTTCAAGTCCTGGATTGAGACAGCGCAGCGTCGACCCCTAGCGGCAAATGCAAGGAGTGCCGGCAGAGCGGCGGCCAACTGGGAATCCTTAAAGCAAGGTGCCAGTCATTCCATTGACAACCCACTCCCCAGTTCTCGGAACCACTTTCCCCTCCCCCCAGGCTATATCTTGTTCACCCTGCCTCATCCTGAACCCCACCCATCTCATCAGCCACCCCTCTCAGGCCTTCCCAGAGGGAAAGAGGCTGAGGACCCTCTCCCCTTTCCCCTATCTCCCAGGTACCAGGAGTTCCCTGCTCCCACTTCTCTGAGTTGATGGGGATATAAGGGGGGCACCTGCCATCCTGAGGTCCGCTAGCTCCTCCCGCTAGGTCTGGGCTCCGCAGTGCCTCCGGCCCCGCCCCCCTCCCGCTGCCTGCTGCCCAATCCCCTGCCCAAGCTTCCCTGCCCACCCCGCCCCCACGCCCCGCCCTTGGTCCGAAGCCAGCAGCCTGCAGCGGCCGGATGAGATGGGGGCAGGAGGGCTCCCTTTAGGAGAGGGAGAAGAGGGTCCCTTTAGGTGGGAGGTGGAGAGGAAGAAGGGGGCGGACCCATACAAGGTCCGCCATCCTATTATTTCTAAGCTTCCCAGGTTCCATCTTTCCCAGATTCTGGTTCTACGAGAAGGGGACGGCAGGGGAGGGGCGTGGGGTCTGCATCGTCCTCACCTCGCCCCACCAGGAGAAGGGAGCCAGGCACCCCGGCCCTCCAGCTCTGCTCCTTCCAGCCCATCATCTGGCCCGCCCTCCAGCCGTTTCAGGCGCTCACCCTCTTAATCTGTCCGCAGGAGTACCTGGCATGCGTGGGTTCTCACCGCTACTCTGAGGATTCCCCGAGTGATTGGGAGTGGAGGGGAGGTGTTATATGGGAAGGAGAGGCCCCACAACTGGAAATCTTTCCCTCCCCCCCTTTTCTCCGTTTCTCTTGTTCCCAAAGAGGGCCCCACCCCAGAAATAGTTGCATCTGGAGACATGGGGAGAGGATGTCGCATGCCATCCGTCGTCCAGCGCCCGGTAAGGGTAGGGGGAGCATCTTCTCCTCCAGTCTGAGCGCTCTCTTTACAGGAATCTGGCAGCCCCCCAACACACAGTTTTCTCCCCAGCACCTCTCACTCACCTAGCCCCAGGCATCCCCAGCTAAAGTCCTTTCCCCACCCCCACCCCTGCTGGCTTTCTTCCCCATCATCTTTATCTGTCTGCCTCCCCCCGTCCTGTTTACCCTCATCTTTCCTAATTTCTCTCAGGCCTCCTCTCTCTGCCCCCTCTCCTTCAGTGTTCTCAACCCCCCAAGCCTTCTTCACTTCCCTGTGGCAGTTTGTCCCTTTCCCTCTCACTTTCCCTTTGTTACCTCAGTTTCCCCTAGGCCTGTATAGCCCCAAATTCCCCATTGCTGGAGTCCTGCACTGTCCTCCATCCTCCCCTCCCCAGGTTTCTTACCCACTACTCCGGCATCAAGCCCTGGTCCTCAGCCTTCTGTCCTCCCTGTGACTGATCTCCCATTTGTGCCTTAGCTGGCTGCCCCAGTACCTCTAGACCCACCTATCCCAAAAGTCTCTGGTTCTCCCCTCAGTCTCCATCTCCCAGGCTTTTGTCTCCCTCAGTCTGCAGCCCTCCAACCCTAAGTCACCCCCACCACCCCATCCTCCTCCTTTTCTTTCCTCCATCCATTCCCTCATCCCTGCTATCCCTGGTTTTCTATTCCCCTTCTATCATCTCTCAGGTTCCTTGGCCATCCCTTCCCCAGTTCTTCATCTCCCCTGCTCTTTCCTTTCTTTTATGTCCCTCAGTCTCCCTTTGGATCCCTCTATCCCCACCACTCCCCCATGGTCCAGTCTTTTTCCCATAGCTCTCAGTCCCTACCTTCCTTGTTTCCTGAGTGACCCACCCAACCCTCCTCTACCACCATGTTTCCTGAGCAGGAAGGGAATGGAGCTAGAGCCTTATCTCCCCCGTTCCTCATGCCCCTGACCCTCTGCCCCATTCCCCTGACATTTCTCAATTCTACCCTGATCTTCTTCTCACCTATTCCTCTTATTGCCTCAGTTTCCTCAGTCTCATTTTCTCCAATTTCCAACCCCATAGCCTCCGCCAGTCCATCCTCTGCCATACTGTTCCCAGGTCTCTGGTCTCCCCTTACTCTCCAGCCCCTCCATTGACTCAGTTTCTCCAGTCCCCTGCTCTCGTCCTTCCCATGTCCCCTATCTTACCTCCTCTTGTTCCTTGCAGCCCCTTCCTTCCTTCTTAGCTTCCTTTCCTTCTGGACCTCCTCAGCTCTCAGCCCTTTCTCCACCCCCAGCCCTTAGGGCTTGGGCTCCCTCCTGTCCTCAGTTTGTCCCCAAGCTCCCACCACCACCACCTTTGTGTCCTTGCCGGTGGGGAAGGGTGGGAGGAGAGAGGAGATACAGCAACTACGGCCCTGCCTCTTCCCCATAGTCCTCAGCCCCTCAACCTCCAGTAACCCCCTTTGTGCCTCAGTTTATCCCCGAGTTCCCCACCACCACTGTGCTTGCCAGCCCGTGGCGAGGAGTGGTAGGGAAGGAAGAGAGGATGAGGCGGAGCTTTGCTCTGTCTTTCATCTCTATCAGCTCCCTCTTGAACACACACCCTCTTTATTGCCTCAGTTTCCCCCCCCGGTTCACTTCCCTCTGTCCCGTGAACGGGAGGGTGGCAATGAGGGGGCAAAGAAGGGATGGAGCTGGGACCCCGAGCCGAGGACTGACCGTGGCAGAAGCGAAGCAGAGAGGAGGTGTCGTACAGGCCGGGGGGGCAGGCCGGGCCCGGCTCCCGCTCTCGCTCAGACATCGCTGCGATCCCAGCCCGGGCCCGGCCTCCCGTCGCCATGGCAATCAGATTACCACCCCCCCCCCTTCCCGGTGTCCTTCTCCACCCCCGCCTCCTGAAACTACGGGCGACGGGCGGCGGAGACCGGATCGGCGCCCCACACTACCTCAGACCCCGGGCTCTCCCCACCTCAGCCTCCTGATTGGCTGCCCTCCGGCCAATGGGGCTACAGCAGAGCCAAGGATGCTAAGAGCCCGGGGCTGCCCGGATCCCCAACACCTTCCCCTTCCCCCACCTCGGGGAACCCCGCCCCCGCAGCCCTCACTGCTTGTCATACTCAGCTCCAAACCCAATCTCTTAGCTCCGCCCCAGGATACACCCCATGTTCTAGGCTCCTGCCCCATCCCCATAGCTGCCCCCAGAAGCCTCCTTCCATTCGCCTCTTCTAGCTCCACCTCCTCCCAGACCCTTCAGCCCCGACTCAGAACCCTCCTCCTGGTCCATGCCCCTTGGTCCACACTCGGATCTCCTTAGCCCTCCTGCTTCCTTGTCTCGACATAGGTCTTCCCCAACATTCCACGGGGAAAACTGAGGCTTAGAAAAGCTAAGTGACTTCTAACAAAGCCAATAATTGTTCAGTTATAACAGGCTCAGAACCTCAGAATCTTCCAATCACAAGACCTCGAGACCTTGGAATTTATCATCCTAGAGCCTCAAAATCTTAGAACCTCAAAATGTTAAAGCACAGAATTGTAGAATCTCAAAACTGCAGAAATCCAGAATCTCTTGGTTTAAAAATCTCAGACCTTAGAATCTCAGACCTTTATTTAGCACCCCTTCCCCTAATTTGAACTTGCACTCATAGTTGCCTTCATAGAGTCCTCAGAAGACTTCTCCTGTTCCCAGGTTCTAAGGTACTCTTGTGGTCCTGTACTCCTAAAACTATAACTCACAAGTCTCCAATGATGAGCTTTCCCTAAAGTCAGAAGTAGACACAATTAGTTCGTAGCAAAGAAATCTACTTAGAGGAATAATAAGATACATGTAACACACATTCACTCTAACGTGTATTTTCCTAAACTGGAATTAGCCAGAACTAATTCTCCCTTGAGTTCACAGCCTGCTCTCTTCTCAGCTGCCAGGGCTTTTGCACCTTGCAACTGTTTCTTGCCCCTAGAACTATTGCCTCTCTGTGTCTGATCCTGTCTGGAGATGGTGTTTCTCTGTTCCTTGCTGAACGAGATATCTCCTACCAGGGGAGTAGCTTGGATACTAACAGAGGCTTCACATACCCACCCAGCCCTACCCCCAAGAGGTGAGGAGACATTCCTTTCCCAGGGGCAGAGTTCTTTATCCTCTGTTGGTTGCTACTAGGATGAACGGCTGTTTGACAGTCTTGAGGGGCATGGCCAACCTCCACCTGATCAACGAATGGGCTTCTCTTCCAAGAATCCTTCCCAATTCACAAAGGGAATCTTAGAACCCTAGCATTGTGGAATCTCTCTGAACTCCAACATCTTAGACTCACAGAACATTACCATCTCAGAATCAGACGATGATGCAGCAGAAAGTGGGCTGACTTGGGAGTCTGAGGACCTGGACTGTTGCTGTTGTCGAGTCATTTTTCAATTGTCTGACTCTACATGACCCCCTTTGGGGTTTTCTGAGCAGAGACACTGGCATGGTTTGCCATTTCCTTCTCCAGCTCATTTTCCAGATGAGGAAACAGAGGCAAACAGGGTGAAGTGACTTGCCTAGGGTCAGAAAAGTAAGTGTGTCCGAGGCTGGATTTGAACTCAGGTCTTCCTGACTCCAGGCCTGGTGCTCTATCCGCTGCGCCACCTAGCTACCCTACCCTGTCTCTAAATACCTGTCTGACATTGGGCAACAACAGTCCAATCGAGTTATTCAACCAACTGTTTCCTCATGGGTAAAATGTTTTTGTTTTTTTGCTTAGGCAATTGAGGTTAAGTGACTTGCCCAGGGTCACACAGCTAGTAAGTGTCAAGTGTCTGAGGCTGGATTTGAACTCAGGTCCTCCTGACTCCAAGGCCAGAGCTCTATCCACTGTGCCATCTCATGGGTAAAATGAATCAATGAAGATGAAAATGAAGATCAAACTCTCAGGTTCCTTCTAGCTCTTGACCAATGAACCTTGGAATTTCACAACTGTCATAACTGAGAAACATAAAAACTTCAAAATCTTAAAACTTAGAACCATCTGATCCTTAGAACCTCAACACCTCAAGGTTCTAAGCCACAAGTCCAACCTCAGAGGATAAGAACCCTAGTGCCTTTCAACCACTGTATGTTTGAACAATATCCAAGAATGTGTGAAGAGTTAGTGTTAGAGGTTGTGGTCTCTCGTGGTACATCTCAGAACTTCTCCTAGACCTTAGATCCTCTGAGGAACTAGAACCATGGATCTTGGGCCACTAGTCCAAGGGAAAACTGGACCCCAGACAAAGTCACATAGTCATTGAAACAGAGAGAGCCTCTATCTCTTTGTTTCCATTTGGAGGGTCTTTCTTGTCCTCAGAGCTGAAACCTGAGCTCTGGGGTATGCCCTTGGGAGGAGAAAGAAGAGGCAGGCTGCTAACACACACACGCACACATACACACACACACACACACACACACACACACACACACACACACACAAATTAGGGAAAAGAACCCAGGAAGTCAACTCCATCCCTCCCTCCACCTGGTCCAATATAAAAATAGTATCCTCTCCCCTAATCTCCACCTTGGGAACTTGGGCAGATAGAGAACTCTTGAGTTTAGGGCTGGAGAGGATGTCCACAGGGAACTGACCCAGATCTTTCTTCATCTTTCCCTCTCTCCAGAGGCCCAGTGCTGAGAAAAAGGTTTGACTCCGGAACCGACAATATTTGCTCCCTGGCTTCAAGGAAGTCACTATGACAACCAAAGGATTTGGACTCCAGGCTGTGGAGGGAGATAGACAGAGATAGGGGAGAAAAACATACATACATATATATACTTATGTATATACACACACACCTCTCTCTCTTTATACATACATTTACACATTCTCTCCATATACATACATATACACACATATATACATATGTCATTCACATGTAGTATATATACATGTATAGTATATATTCATTATAGTATATACACATATTAATATATGTAGAGACAGAGACATAGATACAGAAATTTACGTGCATATATGTAGAGACACAAAGACAGATACACACACACACAGAAACAGACACACACACACACACACACACACACACACACACACACACACAAGTCAGAAAGGCAGAGAGGGATAAAGCTAGAGACAGAGAACACATAAAGGGAGAAAGTCAGACAGACCGAAACAGAGAGCCAGGGTCAGACCCCCCGAGGGTCCCTCCAGCAGGCCCAGCCTTCCAGGTCCTCAGGCCTCCACCCAAGGGAGGAGAGTGATCATTAGCTGCAGTGGTTTCTCTCCCATCTGTGTGGCACTATGAGCCTGGCTGGGAGTAGGGTCTGTGGGCAGCTGGGCATCAAAAGGCCAATATGGGAGTGCTGGCTGCCCTGTCTAGGTCAGGTTTTGTATGGGATCTGTAGCTGCCCTACTATTGGGTTTCTGTTTCTTCATCTTCTTGTCTTTGTATATGTGTCTCAGTCATGCCGCTGTCTCCCACCTCCCCTCCCCCAACCCCACCCCTTCAGCAGTGCCCTCTCTCCCCACTGGAGACCTCATTTCCCTGCCTCATTGACCTTGCCATCTGCCTGGGCTCCAGGCCCCTGCCTCTTCCCCTAGGATCTGCTTCCTGTCCCTGCTGTCTTCTTAGCCCCAGGCCACAGATCCCTGACTAGCCTGGCAGTCGGGGGGGGGGGGTCATTTAGGAGAGGCCCCAAGCTAAGAGAAAGAAAGAAAGATACTGAGTCTGGGCTAGAGACAGAAACATAGCAGAAAATAAAACATACCCACAGAAATTCTCAGAGACAGTCTGGGGTGGAGACAGAGATCAAGAAGAAGAAACAGAGAAAGGAGGAGAGATGCCCTGGGTCTTCTCTCCTATCCCTATTGGATCCTAAAAGGAGGAGGGAGTAGGAGGAGAGCCTGGGCTAGGGGGGGCTCAAACACCTGAGTCCAGTATTTAGGGGTCAACTGACCGCAGCCCCACTCTGCTGACAAGACTGACCATTCCATCCTATCCTGGGTTTCTTTAATGCTCTGAGATCTCAGAGAAGAGTTGGGGGGCAAGGTTCAGAAGGAGTTCACACCAACCAGTCTTCTCCTTCCTACTCCACCCCAACACCACAGCCGGGGGTGCCAAGGACAGACATTATATTTTCCATAGCATCTTCTTTGTCTTCCTCTGTCTTTCACTTTTCTCACTTACCTTTCCTGGGGCTCAGTTTCCTCCTTGGGTGGAATGGAAAATGGGTTTCTGATGAGTGGGTGTTGGTGTTTAAGAATATTTAAGACACTGATGAATATGTATGAGATCTTTTGCAAATGAAGGGAGGTTTTTGTTCTGCTGCCATGGGTGGGATACAGAGACACCCAGAAACAGATCAATGGAATCAAAGGGAGACAGAGGTCAGACAGACAGCATACAGGGTGTCCCAAAATCAGTTCAATTTTAAGTTTGTTAAAGACTTTTTGGGACACCTTGTATTTCTATTTGTTGATGCTTGTGAAATTTTCCATTTAAAAAAAAAAGACCCTTGGGACCTTGGAAGCACCATGGTGTAACAGATAGATTGCCGTACTTGGAGTTTAAAAGATTTGTGTTTGAATCTGGCTGTGTGACCCTGGGTAAGTCACTTAATTTTTCTGGGCCTCTGTTGGACTTGATGACTTTTAAGGGTCTTTCCAACTCTAAAGAGATGATACTGTGACCTTCCTTTCCTATCACAACAAAGCAAAGAAACACAAGGGGAGAAATTGGGACCAAGAGGAACAGAACAGACTGAGAGAGAGAGAGAGGGTGACACAGAAAGAGGAAAGGCCAGAGAAGAGATTAGGAAGCCCCTTCGTGTTTGTTCTGCTCTGTTTTCCTTTCATCTGTGGAAGACACAGAATGACTGAGACTGAAAGAGGCAAAAACAGACAGGCTAATTGGAGGTTAAGGTCCCTTCCGGCTTCCAAATCCTAAGATTCTAAGACACAGAAATGAAAGCGCGCACACACACACACACACACAGAGGCAGGCAGGATGAGAGAGAGCCCTGGATAGGTATAGGAGGGCTGAGCCTGTGACGGACTCCATGTGTGACAATGAGTATTTGCACCCACCCCGGGGCGGAGCTCAGAACCCAGAGCCTGGAAGAGAGAGCTAGAGGAAGGAGGGGAAAGCAGCAGCCCCAGGTGAGAAAACAGGTAAAGCAGAAGCCCAGACCTTTTGATCTCTGGTGTGCTCTCTCTGTCTTTCTGTCTCTCTCTGTCTCTCTGTCTGTCTGAGAACCTTGAGGATGACCTCATATCTTTTTTCTCCCCCTACTAACATTTTTTTCTTCCTCTGTCTCTCTCTCTCTGTCTCTCTCTCATAGGACCTTAGGGAAGACCTCATATCTTTTCTCTCCCCCTACCAACATTTTTTTCTATTTCTTCTTCTGTCCCTCTCTGTGTTTTAGTATCTTCTTCCCAAGGCACTAGTGATGGGGATTTGGAGATACGTGGGGAGATGTAGGTGGGGTCAAGGCATGGGAGAACAATTGGGACCAGGAAAATGGTCTGCTTCATTCAGATGCCTCAGATTCCTGGGTTCCTCCCTCCACACCTCAATCCCTCTCTGGCTTCCAAAAGTTTTGAGATCTGAGGTATTGTCAAGAAGGAAGGTAGTGGATGGTACCTCTCCTGAGGAAGGTGGGGAATGGAAAGTATGTGGAGATATGTGGCAAAACAGGGATTTGGCAAACAGTTGTTGGAGGGAGTGGGGGGGTGGCAAACAGTCCATTCCTTCAGTCTCAGTCTGGTATGGGGAAGCACCAGAAATGGCTTAGAAATTTTCTTGTTGTTCAGTCATTTCAGTGATGTCTGACTCTCCATGACTCCACTGGCAGTTTTCTTGGCAGAGACACTGGAGTGGTTGGCCATTTCCTTCTCCAGCTCATTTTACAGATGAGGAAACTGAGGCCAACAGGGTGAAGTGACTTGCCCCCAAGGTCACCCAGCTAGTGTCTGAGGCCAGATTTGAACTCGGGAAAATGAGTTTTGAAGACTTTAGGTCTGGCACTCTACCTGGCTGCCTTATGGCTTATAAGTTAGGGGACATTAAATCATCACCCAAATGATCAGTTTCTGCCACGGACCTCAAAGTGCCTTCAGGAAAACCCAGGAACAGCTTGATCTAGCGGGTTGAAATCCTGTTTCTTAGAATGGACATTGCAATGGCACCCACCCCACCCAGTAGTTAGGCATAGGAAGTAGGCCTACGACTTTCATTTGGATAGAGAGCTAGTGGGGGAGGAAACTCCCTCTACCTATACAGGCTAGCTCTGCCCTTCAATTTCACAGTCACCAGATTGTGCAGACTAGAGTACCAACATGACCTAAGCTAAGGTGACCTGTTCAGGGCCACAGAGCCAAGATGTATCAGGGAACTTCTTGGCTCCAAGGTTATCTATCCTTTATGCTACTCTGCTTCCCACAAGACCGTTAAGAGGAGCTCCAAGGCACCCCTGGAATTGTGGACTCTGAAGGCCAGATTCCTTCCCGTGATGTTGACACCTCCACCTCTCCTGGTTCTCTTGCTGTCCCATCCAGTCCTGTGGAAAGCACAAGTAAGGGGGTGGGAGGGAGAGGCCATAAGGGCTTGGAAATCCTCCTGGGGGTGGAGGGGGGTGAGGGGTAAGATGTAATTTCAAGACCTTTCCTCCCAGGAGCACTAAGGGTGGGTTTACAGACGCCCTCCTCATTCCCAAGTAACTAAGTCACACCACCAAGCTTTCGAGGTTTTAAGACACCCCTCAGTTTGGATGTCGGCTCAAAACCTCCTCCTTTCCCTTTCTCACACTAGCCTGCAAATCCTGCTCCCTTCCTGATACCTTACAAATCTGGGATGAGGGATAGTGCAAGATTGGCTGAAGGAGAAGGGCGGGGCACATTTCAGGATGTAGAGGGTAGGGCAGATGGGAGGGGTTCTGCTGGCTTTCCACGAGGGTTTTAAACCTCCTAACCAACTGTAGTAGACGTTGCAAGATCCGTTCCTCTTCCCCTGTGTACCTGGGGCATGGGGAGGAGGGTTCTTTCTCTACAGGCCGGCTCTCTGAGGAGCACAGCCAATGAGGCCTACCGTCGATGGGTGCAGTACCAGGCTCAATGCCAGGAGGCTCTGGCTGCTGCTGAGCCACTGGCAGGTAAGCTGGGGCTCCTGCGGGATACAGCAGGTGGGCCATCCTGAATCTCATTGAGGATCTGGGGGGAAGGATCAAACCTATGCCAGGCCACTGCTCCAGCTGGTGGAGATGCCTTTACAAGATCCGAAGTGACTCAACTGTGGGTGCTGGGGGGGTGGTTGTGCATGTATGCGGGCACAGAGCAAAATGTGTGTATTGGAGAGGGAGGACAGGAAGGAATTGGTGAAACGGCCAGTCTGTCTAGACCTAGGGGGAAGCAACAAGGGTGGACATTCCATGGGGCAGAAATCTCACAGGATTTGATGGGTCATGCCTGAACTGATGAGAAGCAGCCATTAGGTTCTATGGGTGGGAGAGGGGGAGACTCTACCTCCTTCACACATCCATATTCTCTTCCTCTCTCCTCCCCACCTGCCTTGGGGGAACCTAGGAGAAGGAACTGGGAGTGAACATCTTTGCCCCCTTTGCTTCCTCCTCCCCAGGCCTTGCCTGCAATGGGACCTTCGACATGTATGCCTGCTGGCCCCACGCACCCCCTAACACCACAGCCAGTGCCCCCTGCCCCTGGTACCTGCCCTGGTACCAGGAAGGTGAGGATCCCCTCTCTGGGAGAATAACAAAGAGGCCACCTCTTGAGGCTTTCTTTGAGCCAGAGGCTGCCTCAGTTTCCCTTTCTATGTGTCTCTGTCTTGAGTGTGTGTGTAAGGGTCTGGTCTCCTCTACGTCTCTCTTATCTCCTCCCTGTCCTCTCTGGGTTTCTCTGTGTGTCTCTCTTTTCTCCTGTCTGTGGTTCTGGCTCACTGTCTTTCTCCACCTCTCTGTGTTTTTCTGGTTCCTTGACTCCTTGAATCTCTCAGTGTTGTCTGCGTTTCTCTGGTTTTCTAGGTTCAAGTCCTTTTCTCCCTGTGGGACCTTGGGAAAGTCACTTCCCAGAATGGCTTCAGTTTTCCCTCCACCCTGTGTAAAAAAAAGGGATTGGGTTAGATATCCTCTATGGTCCCTTCTCTTCCGCGTTCTCATGTCTCGTATGCTCAGGGACCTCCACATCTGACATACTCATACTAAGCTCCTCTTTCTCTGGGAGCATCTCTGTGTTTCTGTCTAGAATGGTACAAGAGACAGGGCCCTAGGCTTGGAGTAAGGAAGTTCTGGGTTCAAGTCTTGCCTCAAACTATGCGACCCTGGCCAAATCACTGCTCCTTTTAGGTCTCAGTTTCCTCATCTGTAAAATAAAGAGGTGGTACATGATGGCCTCTGAGGTGCCTTCCAGCTTGAAATCGGTGATCCTGCGAGCTCCCTGTGCCTCCATGGGTGCCTCTCTGGGTCTCTGCCCCCCTCACCTTCCACCCTGACATCACACCCCTCCTTTAGCCTGGTCTGTCTTCCGTGTTCTCTTCAGTGACCATGGGCTCTGTGCTGCGTCTCTGTGAGGCTGATGGGCAGTGGGGATCCTGGAGGGACCACTCCCAATGCGTGTCTCCAGAGAAGGAGCACGTCTTCCAGGTGAGATCACTGGGTGTAGGAAGAAACACAGCCTTTCCTCAGGGGGAGTCTGAAAAATCTCGCTGTCCCATGGGGAAAGTGAGCCTTTGGTCTCAGAGCTGTGCTGAGCTTCATGAATCTTCCTTCCTCCAGGGTCAAAGGTTCATCCTGGAGAAGTTGCAGGTGGTGTATACAGTGGGCTACTCATTCTCCCTGGCTGCCCTGTTGCTGGCTGTGCTGATACTCAGCACCTTTAGGTAACTGGTCCAGAAGGAGAGACATGACACCATCCTCAGGGGGCCCCCAGTCTAAAAAGTGAGACTCGGCTTTGCTCTTTAGGAGACTCTGGTTGGAGGGCAATATGTGAGGGCAGATGGCAGACTGAGCTAGCTGTCTTCAAGCATCAGAAGGGCCTTTAGGGGGATGACAGGTCAGACTTGTTCTGTTTGGTTCCAGAAGGGAGGACTTTTCAGCTCTATATCAGGAAGAGCTGTCTAAAAGTGGAATGAGCTGTCTTGGGAGACAGGGGATTCCCCTCTCAATAAACATCTTCAAGCAAAGACAGGATGACCATTTGTTAGACAAGGGCAGAAGGTCAGTCCAGGACAGGGCTTCGTTAGGGAGAACTAGAAAGGAGGTATACGGAGTGATGAGGAAAGTGGAGAGCTGGTGGCTATGGGGCAGGGTCAACAGATGCTGTCATGACCCTCTTCCTCTAGGAAGCTTCGATGCACCCGAAACTATATCCACATGAATCTGTTCATCTCCTTTGTTTTCCGAGCAGCTGCCATCCTCACTAGGGATAAGCTGCTGCCCACCTTGGGCCTTCACACTGAAGACCCATCTCAGGTGCTCTCTGGGTTCTCCCTTCCCTTCCCCTTTCAGTGTAGGCTGACAGCCTGTAGTTCCAATATAATGACGTTCTATGTTCTCCATTCTAAATGGGTGCCCAGACATGACAGTCTATGTTTGATGCTCGATAATCCTTGGACTCCATTGCCCTCCTCCCACCCCACTTGGCTCACACCCTCTCAACTATCTGACTGCCCACCTACTCACCTCTTTTCCTCCCTCTGGACCAGGTCTAGAAGAGAAGGACTTTATCTGGGGAGAGCATCTGGTTGACGGGATGGGCTGGGGTAAGGAGAGATGGTTGGCTGTTGGGAGAGTTTACCTCCATCTGCTTCTAATCCTCTCATCCACCCCCAGGCCCTAGCCACTTGTCGAGTGGCCCAGACTGTGACCCAGTACTGTGTAAGTGCTAACCACACGTGGCTGCTGGTGGAAGGTGTATACCTGTACAGCTTGCTGGCACTAATGGCCTTTTCAGAGGATAGGCACTTCAAATGCTACCTGTTTCTTGGCTGGGGTGAGTCTCACACTGCCTGGCCCTCCGTCCTCCCCACTTGACAACACCACCGAGTCTTGGGCTAGTGACCATTGAGAAAATAAAGGGGTGTACTAGATTATCTCCTAGTTCTGAGATGAGGTCCTTCCAGCTCTGAGACCAGTCAGTCAAGAAGCATCTATCAAACCCTGATGATGTGCTCACCCCAAGCACATAAAGGCAAAAAGCAATGCCTGCCTTCAAGGAGGATACGTTCTAACGGGAGGGACGACGTGTAAAGAACTGGGTCCACGCAAGATAGAAATAGAAAGAGCGGATGAGGGCCATCTGAACAGGAGAAGGGCATTTCTAGGACTTTGCTGGTTTTTAGATATTTTACACTCCCCGGCCTTAAAAAGCTTTAGATGAGGACAGCCCTCATCTAACCCCGCACCCAACTCTGAACAGGTAGAAAGGAGGGTCTCCCTGTCTTCTCACCTCTGTGGGCATTGCTGATTTTCACAGGGGGCCCCGCGCTCTTTGTCATCCCGTGGGTGATCTCTCGACACCTTCACGAGAACACTCAGTGAGTGAAAGAGGACGCCAGGAGGCGGTGTGCCAATATGGAAAGTGGGCAAGACCTGCTTGTGTGTGGGGGAAGGCTGAGATGGACTGACGTAGTGGGAGGGACTGGGGTGGAATATGGGTGTGACTCACACAAAGGCTGCCGGGGATGGAAGGGCAGGGCCAGGATAGAAGAGGCTGACCAGGACCTTGGAGAGTTCCTCTTACAGGTGCTGGGAACGGAATGAGATCAAGGCAATTTGGTGGATTATCCGCATGCCCATTCTCGCCACCATCTTGGTATGATTCCCCATTCCCTGCCTCACAGAATAGTTCTCTCTTACTCAAGGAAGATGCCTCCTCCAGCAGCCTCTGCACCCCTTTTCCTTAGTTCAGGCTCCTTTTCATCTTAGCTCGGGGTTTTCTAGGGTCCTTTCCCAGAGGAAGAATCTGTCAGAACCTAGCCCAATTTCCCATCGCATCCAGGAAGCCCTCCTTGACAATCCAGGAAGATCTCCTCTTCTGAGCTCCCCACTCCTGACTGTGCGGGGGCTCTGAGAGTGGGAGTAACCAATATTCCCTGAGGCTCCCCAAGGCCCTACACCCCAAGGCTTAGCCTCAGCCCTATCCTAATGGGGTGGGGGAGGTGTGAGGGAAAGGTTCAACAAATAGGACAGCTGGATGAAAAGGAACTATAACATTCCCAGATTCTACTGTGTGTCCAAATTCTAAGTCTAATCTTCCAGAGCTGTAACGTTCTACCATTCTATGTTCTTGAATCCCAACTGTCCATGGTGCTGACAGTCGAAGGCTCTAACCCTCCTGTTCCTTAGCTTCTTACTCCAACAGTTTTGCGCTCTTGCCCAGCATGACCCTTCCCTACATTTTGCCACTCCCCTCCTCAGGTTAATTTCCTTATCTTCGTTCGAATTCTGGGCATCCTGCTGGCCAAGCTGAAGGCCCACCAGATGCGCTGCCAGGACTACAGGCTCAGGTGGGGGGAGGGAGGGAAGGAAGAGTCTCTGGGGTCAGGGAGGATTCCCATAGGGGGAGGGATAGAAGGGCCCCAGAGGTTCACGCTCCCTTCACCCCCAGGCTGGCCAGGTCCACACTGACCCTGGTCCCCCTCCTGGGCATCCATGAGGTGGTGTTTGCACCTGTGATAGAAGAACAAGCAGAGGGCGCCCTCCGCTACACCAAACTGTGCTTTGAGATCCTCCTCAGCTCCTTCCAGGTAGGGTGCTGGGACGGGAACTGTCTCAATGCCATTCCAAATCCACCACCTGCCACCCTTGCCCCTCAGTCTCAGCAGCCCGATCTGTTGCTGCAAACTGCTTCGAGAAGTCTTCTCGGATCAGAGCCTGCCTCTAACGCTCCAGACACAGAACACAAAAACTTGCACCTCTCAAAGTCCCATCCTGGATGCAGAAACTAAAAACTGTTGTCTAACAACAGACCCCCATTATATTTGGGAAAGCTTAGGCTCAAAAGGGGAAGGGCTGTGTCTAAAAGCAAATCTCTCACCCCTGTGTGTCAACCAAGAGCAGATAACCTAGGGCACATTGCTAGGGTGACTCACACAAAGCGGGGGAAGGCCAAGATTATCAGGTTGCTTTGGGGGAGAGAACGCTGGATTTGGAGTCTGATTAAGACCAGGGCTGAAGTGCTGGCCCTTTTTTTAAGAGAGGGCTCAGGCTTCCCATAAAGCACTCGTATTCATTCAGTGTCTTCTCTCCAGGGACTCTTTGTCAGCATCCTATACTGTTTCATCAACAAAGAGGTATGAAGCTCCCAGACCCACTATGATCTTCTTCCCCAAAGTGGGTCAATTGGTAATGGTCACGTCCTACCTTTGCCCTTGGCCCCCCGCAGGTCCAGGCTGAGATCCGAAAACAATGGCAGCGATGCCAGCTGGTCCAAAGTCTCTTGGATGAACGACGCCTGTCCCTGGACCGCCACTCTTCTAGCCACGGGGCTGCCCCCTGCCTCTCCATATGCAGCAGGGGCCTGGGTGAGGAAGGAGAGGAGGCCAGCCCAGCCTCTGAGAGCTCCTGCTAGGAAAGACTCCAACCACTGCCTGCTTTTCCCAACAAAGAATCAAAGACGCATGTGTGTTTAGCAAAAATGTAATCGCCACCATGCCTATTTTTCCAGCCCTAATTTGAGGTTTATAGAGCTCTTTGCTTGGCACAGCCTTGGGCTGGGGAAGGTGGTACAAGGTTGATTATCCCTGATTTCCAGAGGGAAGAGGTGAGGCTCCAGAAGGCTGCATGACTTGGCCAGGGGCGTAGGAAGAGGCAGAACTGTGAAGCTCAGATAAAGACAGGCAGGAGCCCCATGGGTGTATGGAAGAATGGAATTATAGGATCTGGGAGCTGCAGGCATCATTTAATCCAACCTGGCCCTGAGCTACAGGTCTCTCTGCAGCATCCAGCCCCTAACAGGAAGCTCACTACAACCCTGTCTCCCTTCTCCTACCCTGGCAGTCCATCCCATCCTTAGCTCATTATTACGAGTTATTCTCCCTTCTAGAAGACCTGGGTTCAAGCACCATTTCTGCCACTGACACCCTATCCTTCCCATTTTCTGGGCCTTACTTTACCCATGATACTTGAATATTAAGCCAGAATTGGAATGCCTGCCCTCTGAGACCAAGCGGAACAAGTCCTTCAGACAGCACAAAACAGAGACTGTGTCACAAAAGCAGTTTCAGAGCTGAGAAGGACCTTAACGGCTATGTACTACAACTTGTACTTGAAAAGAAAACAAACCTCCTTGTGTAACCCCCTGGACAAATGGCCATCCAAGCTGAGCTTGGAGACCTCGGGTGAGGGAGAATTCACTGTGTTCCAAGGCTGGCCACTCCACTTCAGGATGACTCATCACAGGGACATTTTTCCCCCCTGGTTATCAAGCCCAAATCTGCCTCTTTTCACTTCCCCCTACAGCTCATGGTCCTGCCTTCTGGCACCAACCATGGCAGGGTGGATCCCCCTTCCACATACCCATTGTATCTTCAAATGCTTGCAGCCATCATATCCCCCCCCCCCTGCCCCCAGTCTTCTCTTCTCCAGGCTGGGGGTAAAAGATCCTTCAGTCCCTTCTCATTTGGCATGAAGAAGGCCCTTCACCACTTTGGATGCTCTCCAGCCCACTGGGGTCCTTTATAAATTGTTATCCCTGGAACCAAATCCCCCAGATGGGGCCTGGTCAGTGAGAGGACAGTAGGACCGCCATTTCCTGGATCTCAGAAGTCAATGTGGCCCAAGATCCTAATAGCTTCGGGGCTTTGAGTGACTGAACTTTCAGTCTCCTAAAGACCTCTGATATTCCTCAGAGGAGCTGTTGGGCCTCTCCTACCTGATATGTTTCAAGTTTTGAACACAAGGCTGATTTGATATTAATCCCTATTTCATCTTATTAGATTCAGTCCAATTGTCATAGAATCACAGGTCTAGAGCTGGAAGAAACTTCAGGGGCACACAGGCCCAACCGCTCATTTTACAGATAAGGAAACTGAGGCCCAGGAGGATTACATAACTTGCCCAGGGTCACTTACATGGGATTTGGATGAAGGTCCCAACTCCAGACCTGTAATCCTTCATGTGTTACGTCAGGCTGTTTGGATCCCAAAGCTGTCACGCATTGTGACAGGTTCGTGTCATCTGAAAAGATGCCACCTAAATCCTTACTAAAGTCACCGACAAACATTCGGCAGCACAGAGCCAAGCCAGCTCCCTGCGGTGTTCTACCGTAGTCCTCTTTGTGAAGTAACGTGGAATACCAAGCCTGCCCACTAAACCAATTCCAGATCATCCCTCTGGCCGTACCCTCACCTGGCCCACGTCTCTCCACTCCTTCCACAAGAATCAATAGACGGCTTTGATGAGGTTTGGGTCAACTCTCTCCTGCAGTCCCCTGATGTATTAGCTTAGTAACAGTGTCAAAAAAGGAAATAAAATTAGTTTTGTGTGACTAGTCCTCAATGAAGCCACGTGGGTGCTTCCTCCTTCTTCTCCTTCCAGTTCACCAACTGTCCCTTTAGTAATAATTCATTCCAGGATCAGCCTCATGTTTGCAGGATGTTTGTCCCTCTCCCACTCTCCACCCTTTCTAAGATCCCTGATGGTGGGCCCTGCAATCATACCCAGGGATGTAATTCATCTGGGTCACTGTGGACTCATCCAGAACAGCCAGGGGCCCTCTCCCTTCCTCCCAACTGGAGGATCAGCCCCCTAGTAGCCATTTTCACTTTTCTTTCCAATCTGAAAATCCTTCTCCTTGGTAAATAAAAGCAAAATGAACATGGTGCAGTCCCATCATCAACAGGCCTTCGCCTTCACTGGTCCTCGCTCTTGGCCCACACCACCCTGTTCTTCTTCACCAATTCTGCCATCGCTGGTCTGAAGCATTTAACATCCACATCCGTGGAGTGGTCTTCTGGAAGCCTTCTACAGATCCAAGCCAGCTGTCGAGTGGTCTGTACATCTACACCACATACCCTTCTCACGGGGAGAGTATTCAGAATTTCATTCCTGTGTTTCCCCCACACAACTTCAGTGTGCGGGATGCTAGCCTACTCTGACCTCTTGCAAATCTGGTCTCTCAATTTCTAGGATGCATGTTAAACTATTCTCAGCTCTCCTTTCCCGCATCACTGCTTCCCCCTGCTCCACCACTAGCTCTCTGCTGGAGAAAATCAGATCCAGAATAGAATTCCCTTTGTTGTTTCTGAAATTATTGTTAAGATTAAGGCAAGAATGACTTCACATGTATAACTGTTATCACATTGCTTGCCTTCTCAATTGGTAAGTGAGGGACAGACTTTGGAAGTCAAAATTTTTTTTAAGAAAACGGATGTTAAAAATAAATAAACAAACAAGAGATCAGCAGAGAATGAGCACTAGCAGGTCTGGAGGGGTTCTCAGACCTTCCCTTCCCCATCCCTCCCCTAATCCTCACAAATAAGGTAAGAGCTACAGTCTGAGAAAATCATCTTTTATTTCCATAGATCCAAAGGATTCTTCCCCTCCTTGTGAAGGAATACCCTTTCCCTCTTACAATATGATACAAAATTTTTCAAATCTGTACTGAGATGATGTGAGGATCAGAGGGAGATTCTTGAAGGTGTAAAGCTTTGTGACTTTGGGGTGGGGATGAGACTTTGGGTCTTAAGCCTGTAACAGCCCCAGAGGAAGGGGAGCTCCTTGGGGTCAGGTTGAGCAGTTCAGTCAAGCCCAGTATCACCTCAAACAAAGTCTGGGAAGGCCAGGAGAGCTACCTTTGTGACCCTAAGCAAATCAAGGCTGTTCTTTTCAATTCAGTTTCCTTTATATAAAGAAAGGGTTGAATGAGACAGTCTATAAAGCCCCTTGCAGGTCTAAGGGCCTGTAATTCTAAGCCTTCCTATTCTTAAGACCCCCAAGCATTCCCCCAACTCCTCTTCCTCCTCCTGTCTACAGGGGTTTAAATTTCACTGTACCCCCACTTCCATGACTTTATAATATGATATAGTCTGTACTCTCTGGGATAGAAACAGTGACTCCCTAAGGGTGGGATGGGAAGGAGGAGGAGGGCTCCTGCACTGTCAGAGGCAGGCCAGTGGGAGGCTGTGTCCAACAGGGCTAGGATGGGAGTCCCTGTGATAGATGAGGATTTAGGGGGTGGGAGTTTACGTTTTTCTGGTTGGTAAAAGTAGCATATGTAAATCAACAATAGAAACAACCTGTTCTTCGTGGGGAAAGAGAATGAAAAAGTCAGCCTGAGAGTTCAGGCCCAGGAGTGCCAGGCACAGCTCAGAACACACCCTTAGCTGGGAATGGGAGAATTTGGCCTGTGCTGCCTCTGATGCTTCTGAGGTGGGGGACCTGACCTCCCCGGGGCTCCAGCCTTGCTTGGCTCTGCATTCTGGTAGGAGTTGTTAGCACCCCCAAATTTCAAGACTTCATTAGCCACTAATGGCTGTCCCTTCAATAGACTGCTTCTGTGGCAACTCACAACTCAATGGTAGAAATGTTAGGGATTTGATGTGTGTGTGTGTGTGTGTGTGTGTGTGTGTGTGTGTGTGAGTGTGTGCATGTGTGTTGGGGGGAAACAGCCTGAGTACTAGGTCTGCTTCACCTGAACTACTCTCACCACACCTCTGCCCCAATCTTGGGGGCTCAGTCGCCCCTTTCTGTGCTCTAACCCTACCCCTGCCTCATCTGCTACTCTTACCCCAACCCCACCACACACCCTCTCTGTGGGCACCTGTCTGCTCAGTCCAACCTGGCCCACAAGAACCAGACAGGGGAAGAAAAAACAACAAGGTTTTATTCACAAAAGGTAAAACTAGTGGACCCCTCAGCCTTACTGGGCTGAGCCAAGTGTGGGGGTGGGAAGGGGAGGCTCTGGCTCGGCTACTTGCCAGCAATGAGTGGATTCCTGAGGACCACGATGACTGAATCCCCCCTCAGGAACATCTTGGAAATGTAACGATCTTTGTTCACTGGTTTTGACTTTTTCTTGCCTTTGCCACTTTTGGGTACCTCCGTCCACATCTCCTTCACGTTCTCCAAGACCATGTTGCAGTGCCTGGGGCCAGGAGGGGCAGGGGATGAGCAGAAAAACTGGCTAAGCCTACCCTGATGCCCTTAAAAGGAGCCCCAGAAGGAAAAGGAAGGCTTGGGCAGTGGACAGCAGCAGAGAGCTGGTCCCTCCCCTTTGCAATGCCAGAGTCTCTTTCACCCCTGCCCACGGTCAGGACCTTGGAACTGTCCAAGGATCCCCCCTCTGCCCCCACAAGTGGCAGCCAAGGAGGGCCATCACCCACCTGTCAAAGGCCTTCACTCGGCCCAGAAGTTTCTTGTTGTTTCGGCAATTGATAAGAACCTGGGTGTTGTTCTTCACCGACTGAGTGAGCACTGACAGGGGCCCGGTGTTGAACTCTTCCTCTTCCCGCTTCTGCAGCTCCTCAGGGGTCATCTCGCTCTTGGGCTTGTTTAGGAGACTCCTGGGGGGCAGCGCATGGACACAGACACGTTGGCGTCCCCCCCACCTGCCTGCAGCGGCTGGCCTCCTGCGCACCAGCTCTGGCCCACTTATAGCCCCCTATCCAGGACACGAAGGACTGTTCCCAGGGCTTGTTCCTGAGCAGTCTGCTGGGCTTGGGCTTCTCCACATAACCCAACCCTGCCTCCCTGGAACCTCATCTCACCCTTGACAAAGCTCTCAAGACTCCCATTTTACCAAGGTCCCCAATCTGCTCTGTAGGCCACCTGTATGGCCAAGTGCCCCCTCCACTATGTGGTCTGGGCCAGGGACAGAGATCCTCCGCAAGCCTCTGTCCTGCAAATCAAGACTTCCTTTTAATCTGTGCCTGCTGGTCTGAGCTCCCCTACCACTCAGCAAGCTATTTCTTAAGACATGCCCTACTCATGCAGACCTCCCCACCCAGTGCCTCACCTGGATCAACTTCAAACAGTGATTGGTTCAGTGGGTGTCACCCACAAGGAAGGCTGCCCATCCCATCCCATTGCAGACTCAACGATGCCCAGCACTGGAAGATACTTGGGGAAAGGAACCTTAGTCCAAATACTACCCAAGCATGAATCCCTTATACAACAGCACTGGAGAAGGGACCATTTAGCCTCTGTGTGAACATCCAGTGACATGGAACTCACTGCTTCATGCAAATAGAGAACATTCCCCTAACAACAGTACTCTTCTAGACCACCAGACCTCCAGAGACCGCACCCTGGGGAATCTAATGAGATCTAGATCTCCCACTCAGCTTTGGAACTCCCCTGCCAGGGGTTATGTTGTTCCAAATGCTTGCTGTAGAATTACGTGGCTCACCATGCCCCCCCCCAAGTAATAATTACATTCATTTTCACATGGTTACTACCAAGGCCTTGTCAACCCACTTCCCCCCAGCTCCATTCAACATCCCAGGGACTCCCCAGACCAAACCTTCCTTCCATAGCCACCACATCCTTATGCACGCTGTCTGCCTCTATCCGAACGCAGGCTCGGTGAAGGCAGGGACTGTCCTGATTCTGTATTTATAACCTCTGAGCGTGCTCCACAATAAGCACTCAGTAAATCAAATGAGATGATATTGATTAACACAGCTCACCCAGTAGGTGCTAAATAAACGCTTATTCCCTTCTTCCCCTGATAAATGCTCTTTCCTCTAGTTAACGGCCCTTACGATTTATAAATGGCTGGGACACTAGCTGTGTGACTCTGGGCAAGCCACTTAACCTCAAGTGCCTCACCAAAAATAAATACATGGATGGATGAATGAATGAATGAATGAATGTCTGGGTGGAGGAAGAAATAGGGGGGAAGAGTTTCTCTTCTCAAAGAAGCTTTTGGGTCTTGCAAGTAGGGCAAAACATAAGCTCATGGGCAAACAAGTGGCTTGGCCAGGCCACAAAGCTGCAGCAAATGGAATAAGGGCCTAAGGCCAGGGGTCCCGATGCCAAAGAGTGCCCCACCCTGTTCTGAACCACCTTTGGAGAAGGCCAATATTTTCACAGGGAAGAAACCGTAGGTGGACAGCATGAGGACTGGGTCTGTTTAGGAAATGGACAGACCAGTCTGGCTGGACTCTTCACACAAGTTACTCCCTCAAGCCAGCTTGTCAGTAACTCTGGAAACAAGAAGGAATTTTCTCAGGCTGCTCAGAGGGAACTGGATGAAGGGACATTTAAGCTAGAGAAGAAAAGACTTTGTTAGGGAAAGAATGACTGTCTTCAGGTACCTGAAAGATTAAGACTCACTGCACTTGATTCCAGAAGAGAAAACAGTGAGGCAGATGTTGGATGACAGAAGTGAAACCTTAATGAGACAGCCAGCTCTTGGTTTCTGAGGGTCAACAATCAGAGAGGCTCAACAGCCACTTGTGGGGGGGGGGATGGGGCAGGTCACATTTCAAGCTGGGTTTGGCCCAGGTGACCTCTGAGCTCTCTTCCAAGACTGCAACTTCTCCCACGTGGAGATGGCTATAGCTGCCATCTGGTTTTCTCAGTTCATCCTTGTGGGCTACTTAACTCTCAATTCCCTTTTACCTTCCTAACAATGCTTCCCATATGGCAAGTCCCTCACAGGATAGACCACTCAAGGAGTTTCTTATTTAATTACTCTATAGCTTTCCAACATCAAACCCCTAAGTCTATTTCTCCCCACATGACTCCTTTATTGGGTGCCCTCTGCCCATGTCCAGTCCCAATCAAGGCCTCCCCTCCCTGTGACTCCCTCACACTCTCAGGAGATCCTTGCAGCCTGTGAACCAAATCCCCTCAAGACTTTGATCAATCCCACCCTCCGGCTCCCTGTGTGGGTGGTCCTCTTCCCGAGGTCTCCCCCTCACAGCTAACCTTTAGGTCTTGGACATCTCCCAACAGCTCTCTGCCATCTGTGGCTCTTCAGCTGGGCCAGCTCCACCTCTGACATTCTATGTGATGGCTCGCAAAAGCTGCTTCCTCCCACTTTCACCTCCCACCTGTGGCCCACCACTCTTCTCTCCTACCAGCGTAGATCCTTCACACTTGCAGAACAATCGAAGAATCCCTATCCTCTAACACCCTAAGATCATGGGTTTAGAGGCCTTGGAGTTCAGCTGGTAAAGCCCCTCATTTTACTGACACCCACAGAGTCCAATTCACTTCCTCAAGTGAGTTCCTGGGGGGCAGGGACAATGCCTGGCATAGGTGGTTCTTCAATCCTTTTTCAATCGTGGCTGACTCTCTATGACCCCATTTGGGGTCTTCTTGGCAGAGATACTAGAATAGTTTGTCATTTTCTTCTCCAGCTCATTTTCCAGACGAGGAAACTGAGGCAAACAGGTTTAAGTGACTTGCCCAGGATCACACAGCTAATAAGTGTCCGAAGCCGGCTTTGAACTCAAATTTTCCTGACTCCAGGTCCGGCTATCTACCTACTGTGCCGCCTAGCTGCCGCCATACTACTGGCATACAGCAGGCGCTAAATCAGTGTTTCACAGCAGGGCAGGTAGTGGATCCAGGGCACTGACACCCAGACAGACAGACAGACAGACACACACACACACACACACACACACACACACATACACACACACACACACCCGTGTACCAGCAGACTTAGCCCGCCCCCTTCTTTCCATTAGCCTCTCGAGCTGCTCTACTGGCCCATCCCCTCCTCCCATTGGCCGCCAGCGCCGCTCTCCAGCCTCAGGCCCTCTTCCCATTGGCCACTCTGCCGCCTTCCTAACCCGTCCCTTCCCCCCATTGGCCGCACGCGCCGCTCTACACTCCACGTGCTCCGCGCGCTCACCTCCCCCACCACAGTCGCACCCCCGCTGCGTTCTACTCGCGCGCTGCCTGCTCGCGGCACCTCGCGTTCTAATCACCAACGTCGCCCGGGCGACCCCCCCACCCCTGAGTGGTAGCGTTCGCTCGCCCTCCCTCAGCCCCGACTCCGCTCCCTCGTGGCCCCAGCCGCGTCCCTTCCCCGGATGACACCCCCGTGTTCGGGCGAAGGGAGGACTGGCGCTCACATGATGGCGGTGGCCTCTCGGTCCTTTGCGGTCCTGCCTTCCTCGCGCCGCGGCTGTCTCTGCGCTGTGGCTCCGTTGTCCCTGCCGCCTGGAGTCACTTCCGGTTCCGGTGTAAAGGAGCGCAGCGAGATCAGCGAGGCACTTCCGGTTCCGGGCTGAGAGGCGGTCGTGTTAGAACGGATGCAGGAACGGAAGATAATGAGGAAGGAGCGCCCGGCGCATGCGTGCTGGATTTAAGAAGAAGCTCGAGGGAGAAGGTTGGCGCAGGCGCGTTGTTATAGCGACCGGGGAATTGCCGTACCTTGCCCAAGAGGCGGGGCCCGAGGTGCCTATGTTCCAAAGAGGGGAGCCGCCTGAGAGCCCCAGAGGATCCATTTCGGCTCCAGCTTTGGGGTGCAGGGAAGAACGTGCTTTTGGCTCCCACCCACACCGTGGTGCCCGTGGGTTAGAGCTAGATTTGGAGCCGGAGGACCTGAGTTCTATTTCTGCCTCTACCACCTTTTGTCGCTTGTGTGACCTTGGGCCCTCTCTGGGCCTCAGTTTACTCACCTGTAACCATAATAATAACAAAAACAACAGTAACAATACCTAACGTTTCTACCCCATTTTAAAGTTTGCTGAGTACTTTAATAGGAACGAATGAAAAAGGATTAAGTACATTAATTAAGGATTCAAAAGTGAGTCAGCCCCTGCCCTCAAGGAGCTTACAATCTAACCTGGGGAATGGTGGTGGCCAGGGAAGCCACAGGGATGGAGCAGGAGTGACTTGATTTCATTTGATTACTGTTTCTGGGTTGAAGGTGGCAGAAAATGGGGGGGAGGGTTGGCCTGCGGCAGCAGGGGTCTGGGCACAGCAAACCCCACCAATCTCATCTGACTTTTCCAACAACCCTGTGAAGCAGGTGCTATTATTATCTCCAATTTACAGTTGAGGACACTGAGGCAAAGGTGAAGTGACTTGTCCAGAAATGTCCGAGGCTGGACTAGAACTTAGGTGCTCTCCGCTCCAGGCCCAGGGCTCTGTGCATGGTGGCGCCCCCCTCGCGGCCTCCACGGCACTGGCCACCAAGTTTGCCTCGGGGTATAGACTAGATGCTCCTTGTGGGCCTCTGGGGTCTCTGAGACCTGCTGTCCGGCCTCTCTCTGATGGCCCGAGTGACACGGCCTTACTGCCTCCCAAGGGCCTGTGCCGTGTTTGCTCAAGGCTGGTCAGCGGCACGGAAGTCCCTTCTTAGGTCAAGCCCACTAGGATGCTTCCCCCGGTACCTGCTGCTCCCAGCTCCCTTCTGCGGGCCCCAGCAGAAGTCTCATCCCTCTGCCCTCAGAGCGCTCCTCAGGGTGGTCAGGAAACCAGGAGAGCCTGGGCTCCAGCCCTGCCCCAGGCATTCACCAGGAGGCAGCTGTCCTGTCCCTAGGGACTTCAGCCTTAAGCAGACAGTCCATCAAATGGAAGTTACGTGTTTAGTCAGCTGCCATAAAAGAATCTGTTCAGTTGGTGATGCGAGGCGAGAGCCCTGGGCTTGGAGTTGGGAAGACTCGAGTTCAAATCTGGCCCCAGACACGTAGTAGCTGTGTGGTTTTGCCTCAGTTTCCTCATCTGTAAAATGGGAGTAATAATAGCACCTACCTCCCAGGGTGGTTGTGAGGATCAAATGAGGTCATAATTGTAAAGTGCTTCGAACAGTGCCCGGCACACAGAAGGTGCTATAGAAATGTTAGCTGTTGTTAGCATTATTACTGGGGCATGCACCATGCCATAGAGTCAATGCTAAGTTATTTCCAAGGACTGGGGGAGAGCCCTAACAACTAGGCCTGTCCCCGAAGCTGAGCCTTCTGTGAGGAGGGAGGGCATTCCAGGCAGGAGATGGGCTGTCCTATGTCGGGAACAGAGGCCAGTTTGGCTGCAATTCAGTTCAGTTCGATCAGCATTTATTAAGTACCTACCATGTACATTGGTACAGTCCCTGGCTGGAGGAGCTCACACGCTGCTGGAGGCAGGTTAACACGCCAGGACATACAAGCCCACAAGAAGAGGAATGCAGAGTCATTTGGAGACAGAGTGGCTGGGAGGGGCGTCAGGTTGGAGGGGCCCCTGAGCACCGGATCCTAAGGGGTAGAGGCTAGGCCTGACCATCTTGGAAAGTGACGTCAAAGGCACCGACTGTGAAGGGTTCTAAGCGCCAAGCTGAGGCGTTCATATGTTACTCAGGAAGAACGAGGGAGCCTTTGAAGCTGTCTGAACAGAGGAGAAGATCCCTGGGGCAGCCACAAGCCTGCTGAGAGCTGGTGCTCCTGGGACTGGAGGAAGGGCACAGAGAAGAAACCGGAGGTAGAATCCATGAGCCTGGGTATCTGGGCTGGGGGGAGAGAGTGTGGACGACGGGGTGGTGGTCGGGAGGGAAGAAAATGGTGGTGGTGCCTTCAACAGAAGGAAAGACGTTAAGAAAGTGGGGGAGGGGTGGGGGAAGGAACACGAGTGCCGTGGACCTGCTGAGCCTGCGTTGAATGTGCGCACCAGGGCCGCTGTCCAGCGAGAAGCTCTGGAGAGAGCCGGGGGCTGGGCTGGCCGAGAGGGTCGCCTCAGCCTCCAGATGATGACTGAGCCATAGAGCAGGCTGGCGAGAGAGTCTAGAGGGCAGCTGGGTGGCGCAGTGGATAGAGCACCAGCCCTGAAGTCAGCGGGACCTGAGTCCAAATCTGGCCTCAGACCAAACACTTAACACTTACTAGTTGTGTGACCTTGGGCAGGTCACTTAACCCCAATTGCCTTAAAAAAAAAAAGTCTAGAGCAAACATTCTCCACGCAGGGACTGTGACCTTGGGTTTCTAAAAGAACATTTGGAAGATGGTTTCAATATAATTGGTTTCCTTTGTAACCATGCATTTTTAGTTTATGCATTTGAAAACATAATTGCGAGGAGTCCATGGGCTTCACCAGACTGCCAAAGGCACGAGGAGGGGATCCAGGGCAGGGGCCTGGGCCTAGCCAGCGGTGCTGATGATGCAGCAGGGGAGTTGTGGGGGGCTCAGCCGGAGAAGAACTAGGAGAGGACAGCCACGGATACCTAAGGAAGAGAGGTTCACTGAGAACCTTGGAGCAGTCTGTGTCCTTTGAGAAGTGGGAATAAAGTCAGCCTTGCAAAGGGTCGAGAGCTTGTAGGAGGCAGGGCAGTGGAGGCAAGGAGACTGAAGACAGCTTTTCTGTTTAGCTGTGAGACATGAGGAGAGATGTGGACAAGAGCTTGGGGGTGGGGAAACCTGGATATGTTTGTAGGCAACAGGGAAGGAGGCGAGAGGGCTTGGGAAGAAGGGCCGCCTTTTCCTCAGCAAATGGAGGAGTGAAGAGAATGGGGCTGGGGCTTGGGGAGAAGAGGGAGCTCACGGTGATGGGCGACATCTCTTTTCTCAGTAACGTACGCGGCGATGGGGGAGGTCGAAGGGTTGAGAAGAGTTCGGCCGCAGCCATCGTGGGGGGAGGGCCCCAGAGATGCGTGGGGGCAGGAGGCAGCTGTCAGCTTGTGGCTACGTGTGAGAAGGAACAGAGAAGGTGGGTAGTGGGGTTTGGGAAGCTCCTCAAATACAGAGAATGCCTTTTCTTTTCTCTGTATCCCTGTTACTGAGCACAGTGCCTGGCACACAGTAGGGGCCTGATAAATGCTTACTGGCTGATGAAAAGGACACGTCAGGCAAAAGATTTAAAGGCGCAGGGCAGCGTCGAGGTGAACCGATGAACTTTAGATGTGGTCAGGATGGTGAAGGGAGGAAGGGGAGGGAAAGAAGGGGCGACCGATGGTCGGAGAAGCTGGAGGAACTGCTGCTTGTGCTGAGGGACAGATGTAGGAGGAGTGAGGTAGCAGGAAGGATGCAAAGAGGGGAAGCCACGGAGGGGAGGCATTTCAGAGTCCTAGACCACAGAGGTTACAGATCTAGAACTAGAAAGAGCCACAGAGGCCATCGGCCTGGCTGCCTTATTTTACACTGGAGGAAGCCGGGGTGATGGTGACATGAAGGGGGAGGGAACGCCCCTTCCCGTGGCTGGCCGGGCCGGGACGCCAGGAGGCCGCTGGAGGGGACGTCGCCAAGTCTAGGGTGGGGGACAGAAGCACGGGAAGCGGATGCTCAAGAGCCCTTGAGAAAGGAGAGGAGATGACTGCCTGCCTCGGCACTGGGAGAGGGCGATGTGCCTGGACAGGACGCGTCCTTGTTTCCTAGCTGTACCACGCAGTAGTTACCCTGTCTGCCGGGCTCAGACTGCCAGTGTTAAAAGGGTGAGAAAAATAATAAGATGACTTTACTAATTCAAAACAACATATGTATTTTATCCCACCCAGGTGTCGAAGGCCTGCCCTTCTTCTGTTGCACTTGCTAAGGAGAGGCAGTGTAGGCTCGGTCCTGCCTCAGACACTTCCAAGCATTTATTAAGGCCCTCTGTGCAGGGAATACAACGACAAAAAATGGAGACTCGGTTCTGCCCTCCCAGAGCTTACACTCTATATGACAACTTGCCAACACCTAAGTATGTTCAGGCCCATTTAAGGAGGAGGAAGGGAGCACTGATAGCCTGGGTTCGAATCCTACAGCAGACACTTGTTAAGCTGCTGTGTGCCTCAGTTTCCTCATCTGTGAAATGGAAGCACAACAGTCCCCGTCTCCCAGGGCTCTTCTGTGGGGCCCAGCGAGACAACACAGCGGAAGGAATCTGCAGAATGCCGGGGTCAGGAAAGGAGCTAAGCCTGGAAGGAAGCCGGGGATTGGACAGGAGAGGGCATTCCAGGCAGGCAAGGAGGCACAGAGTTGGAAAATGGAAGGCTAGGTCAGCAAATGGCAAAAAGCCAGTGTGACTGGAAAGGCAGGCTGAAGCCAGCTGCTTGATCCTGGCGGGTAATAGGGAGCCACAGAAGCTTCTGGAACAAGAGAGTGAAGATGGTTTTGGCAGCTGGGCGTAGGATGCACTGGAGAGGGGAGAAAGTGGAGGCAGGGAAATGAAGGAGGAGGCTGTTGTGACACTGATCATCCTGCGAGGCCTGAACCAGAGCAGCAATCTCTGGAGGCCGGCCAAATGATCGTGGGCAGGTCCCTCCACCACTCTTCCCTGTCAAATGGAAACGGACCCCTTACAGGGTGTCTTGAGGCTCACAGGTGAACACATTTCGGGGCTGGATAAAGACTGCCCTCCTCTCTAAGGAGCCTGCCACAAAGGAGACACCCTGCCCACAGCTGCTGCCATCCTGACCCAGAGGGGACCCTGGGCTTCTCCCTAGGGGATGGCAGGCTCAGCCAGGCCTGACCGGGCAAGTAGCCTCTATGCATCTCACCTTCAGGGACAAGGCTCCCAGGCTGCTGGGCACCAGAGGGCCGGCCGCCAGGGATGCCCAGCTGACCATGCACTAAGGGGCGGCAGGAGCCCCATCCCTCTGTGGCCAGAGACCTCTGGGAGCAGGTCAGCGCAGGAGGGGATCGGCTGATTCCCCCATAGGTTCCTGAGAGAAACTGTGCCTAGGGGACAGCTAGGTGGTGCAGTGGATTGAGCATCGGCCTTGGAGGCCTCAGGAACTTGACACTTACAAGCTGTGTGACCCTGAGCAAGTCACTTAACCCCTATGGCCTCACCAAAAAGCAAAAAAAGAGAAACTGTGCCTATTACAGATGCTTCCAGGAGCTAGGATGCTAGGAATTGTTCACAGTCAAAGCCTCCGGGCCTCAGTTTGCTCATAGTCACAGCTGAGCTGTGATGAGGACCGAATAAGATCATAGCTGTCTGAGCATCCTAATGACCCTGTAGGTGCCTACTAAGTGCCTGTTCTGAGCTAGGTACACACAGTAGGCGCTTAATACAGCTTGGCTAAAGTAAATCATAATTGTGATAGGTAGTGGTTAGCACTCTACATTTGTACATAGGTCACCTCCTGTGATCTCCACAGCAGCTGGGGTGGGGGATGGAATGGAAGACTTTCATATGAAGATATTATCGTCATTACTTTACAGATGAGAAAACTGAGGCCCAGAGAAATCTGGGTCACACGTGTGTGTGTGTGTGTGTGTGTGTGTGTATGTGTGAGTCAGCATTTGAACTCAGGGCTTCCTGACTCCAAGTCCAGAACCTTGACCAGTGTGCCTCCATCTACCCAGTGAACAGCCTCCTTCCCTTCCTGGGAGGCTCAGCTCAGGGGTCACGGCTGCTGCTCCCCTTCTCCAAACGACCCAGTATTTACTTCTCTGTTTACTAGCAAAGACAGTAAGTTCTCTAGGATTTTTCCTTTCCCATCCTTGTATCCCAGTCCCTAGCACAGAGCCAGGCACACAGTAGGTGCTTAATAAGTGGTGGCTTGCCCTTCTCAGCCTGGCAGCTCTCTGAGGACAGGCCCCTCAGACCAAATGAACAAAGCCAGAGATACGAGGAGGAATTTTCTCACAGTAGCACATTTGTGTAATCGATCCCTGAGGGTCACAGTCTGGCTGTTCCTCCACCGCTATCATGTGTCTGTGGGGTCCCCGCTGGGGCAGGAGCTCAGAACTGGCTTGGCCCTGGGGCCAGGAAAGGAGCCCGTTGTCCAGGGGCTAGAGCAGGCCCAGGTACTCAGCCAGGAAGATGGCAAGGATGCGACTGAGGTTGTGCACTGTGGGCGGATGCAGGTTGGCCTCAGTGTCAGCTGGGGTGTGCCAGACGGCAGGGAAGGGTGTGGGGATGAGGTGCAGAATGGGCACGCCTGGAGAGGGAAAGAGAGCGGAGGGCTGTGAGATAGGAGACGGGAGGGTCCACCCAGGTACAGTCAGGCCAGGCCCAGCGACGAGCCGCTCTTTGGCGCTCCGGCCTCCAAGCTCAGACAGTGAAGCCCAGGCCGGGCCAGAGACCCGAGGACCCATACCTACCTCTTCGCAGGAAGGGGGTGTGGTCGTCATCCACGGCCCCATAGGGTGGTCCTGGCTGGAAATACATCACCTCCCAAGGATGGGATGCCAGAAGCCCCAGCCGGTGAAGCCGCTTCTCTGCAGCAGCAGAGAGGAGGAGGAGGAGGGGGTCAGAGAGAGGCCCCCCTCGGGTAGGGTTGCTCCCCTTTTCCGCTGTCCCCCATTACCTATTGAGCTAAGCTGCCGGAACCAGGGGGCTGTGTTGGGGAAGTGACTTTTAATGATGGGGTCACGGGCTCCCAGCAGGTCCAGGAGGACAAATATTTCCTGGGACAGATACAGAGAGAGACAGACAGACAGACAGAAGAAGCATGAGCTGCCCTGCCCATGGGCAGACTGGTCAGGAAGGGCCTCCACTGTGTCTGTACACAGAGACAGAGCCTCTGATTTTCTGGTACAAGCCAGTGGTCCTCCTGCATCTGTGCCCACGCGGCCTGCAGAACAAAGGGAGACATCTGCCTTGCCGGTGGTCCGGTGACTGCTGCAGGCTCCGGCCTTGGGCCTCACAGGGAGCTGGCGGGAAGGCTGGGGCCCAGCACTGGGGGTCTCTGCCACAGATGACCCTTATACTGACGGGTCAGCTCAGGCCAGGCTCCTGCATGACACTGGGTGGGGAGGGGAAGCTGACGCCCTGGTCCACCTAGGCCGAACGGGACAGCTGCCTCTGGAGCCAGCAGCTCTCCCTGATGCTACATGCCTCTGGCCTTAGGAGCATGAGGCTTCTCATGGAGTCCTCTCCAGCACTGATCTCCCAGTGCAGCTAGGTGACCCAGTGGATAGAGAGCTGAGCCAGAAGTCAAGAAGACCTGAGTTCAAATCTAGCTTCAGACACTTAGCAGCTGTGTGACCCTGGGTAAGACACAACTTCAGGCTGCCTCAGTTTCCTCAACGGTAAAATGGGGATAATAATAGCACCTACCTCTCAGGGTTGTTGTGAGGAACCAGGGAGGTCATATTTGTAAACACTTAGCATGGTACTTGGCACATAGCTGGTGCTTAATAAATGTACCCAGAAAACCTGCCCACCCACCCCCAGGAAAAGAAATCAGGCATCCCTGACCTCTCGCTTGTAGGCCCCCTCTAACCCTGAAGTTTCCCCCTTTTTCTCCTGGACAGAAGCCCAAAGGAAAGGAAGTGAACCACTTGGTTGACAAGGTGGAGAGCCCTGGAGGATGCTGAGGGATGACCTGAGGCTGGGAAAAGAGGGAAGGAGGAGGCCTGGGGATGAGGAGCCCCACTCACACTCCAGATACTCACAATTGCCTGAATCTCTGAGATGCCAAAGTCATGGGGTGTCTGCTCCATGCGCTGGGCCAAGTGCCGGGCCCCATAGAGAGAGTCTTCTGGCCCCCACTCCTTCAAGGCCTCTTCTCCATCCAGGAAAAGGAGCTGAAGGGTCACAGGAGCCCCCTGTGAAGAAAGAGTGAAGAGCCATCAGGAACAGAAAGGAGGCAGAGGTCACCCCTTCCTCTCCACCTTCCGCAAAACCAAGCTTTGGCCGTGAACATGCTCTGTTCCAGAAAATCCTCCAAGGTTATCCCTCCTTCCCTTTCCCCACAATGGTCCCTTGTTCTCATTACCCGGTCCTTAAAACGGCCAAGCTGAGGGTCAAGGGCACGGACGAGCTCAAGCAGCAGAGCACAGGGCACAGCAGAGTCTGTGGCACCCAGGAAAGGGGGTGCACCTGGAGGGAAGAGCTTGGAATCCAAGTGGCAGGCCAGGGTCAAGCGGTAGGGGGCTTCTGGGGACAGTGTGGCCACCACATTGGCGAAGGCCACAGGCCCTAGTGGGGTCGGGGCTGAGAAGGCGTCCACCTCCACCTGCCAGCCAGCGCCTAGAGCCCGGAGCTCATCCTCCAAGAACTGTGGGTACAGGACGGGGGCTTGGAGGGCCAGGAAGCCTGGGTCCTGGCTGTGAGTTTGGGGGGAACCTAGTGGGACAAATGCCTGGTCCTGGCTATGAGTCTGGGGGGAGGGTAGTGGCCTAGATGCCTGCGTCCTGGTTAGAAAGCTAGAAAAGAGAGGTAGGACATTCCAGACACCTGCATCCTGTGCACAGGTAGAAAGCAGGGAGGACTTGGTGGGTGTAGTAAGGACACTTAATTTCTCTAGTAGATCAGGGAAGGAAAGTGAGCTCCGAGGTCTGGGATTCCCAGTGCCTGCCTATGGGTCTGGTAAGGACCTAGGGCATTTAAGATTCCCAGTCCCATTCTAATCCCTCTTCCCTCCCAGGCCCTTCTCCTCCTTACCTTTCGGACCTTCAAGTTCCCAGGACTGCCTGGTGGCCTTTCAACCAGTAGGGGCTGAAGGTACTTGCCCCAGAGGCGCTGGGGGTCCAGTTGTTCTAACAGTGCCCGAAGGTGGGCTTCAGGGAGGCTTCGGGCCTGCCGGGATTGGGACTGGGAAGAGAACAACCAGGCCTGGGGGATAGCCCCTTGGTTCCTTCCCCACCCCTGCCCTCTATTCTGCCTCCCCGAGGCCGTCCTCTGCTCACACTAACTCTAAGCGGCCCCCACACTCTAAAGCATCACAGACCCTTGGAACATCAGGAGGCACAGAACGCTGGGGCCCTAGAACTTTGGGAGCCACAGGATGTTTGAGTCAGGAAATGTTCGAACAAGAAGCATCACAGAACACTAGAAATGAGGAATTTCTTTAAAGAAACTAAAGGTGCAGAGAAAGGACCCATAGTACAAAAACTCACAGCAGCCCTTTTATTGTAGCAAAGGACTGAAAATTAAAGGGGTGTGCATCATCTGGGGGGACGGCTGGCCAAGTGGCCTATGGACGTAATGAAGTGTTATGGTATTATAAGAATGACAAAGGAAGGTTACAGAGAAACCTGAGAAGATTTGTATGAATGGACACAGAACCAAGTGAGCAGGGCCAGGAGGTGGGTTTCAACAATGACTACAACACTTAAGAACTCTGGTGAAATCGATCGATGACCAGTCATGACTCTGCATCCCAATGCTCCCAGCAAGTGAATTTCTTTTCCTGACTGGATGCCTTTGAACTGGCCTTTCCCCATGTCTGGAATGCTCTCTCCAACTGCCCCCACCTCCCAGCTTCCTTCAAGACTCAACTCAAATCCCACTTTGTGCAGGACCCTTTCTGGGTCTTGTCTGTACCCAGTTGTTGCCATGTGGTCTCCCCCAATTAAAATATGAGCTACTTGAAGACAGAGCCCCTGGTTTTGCCTTTCTTTGCATGAAGAGCCTGGCACATAGTAAGTGTGTTGACCGGCTGATTATATTTGGTTAAAAGGGAGGGCATTCTGGGGTGGGAGGGAGGGGAGAGGGAGATCAGTAATACTGATGCCAAAAAGAAAAGAAAAGATCAGTGAAACTTTTTCTTTTAATGGACAGAGATCAGAAGACAATTCAGAATGAGAATGAGACAGGACAGCTCTGAAGCCAAGGTATTAAATTTGTTCATGCATGCGCGAGCACGTGGGCACACACGCACACGCGCACACACACACACACACACAAAACCTGAGCTGTACTTAATAGACTTATATTTCATGTACAATCCTTTTCTGTTCTTGGCATGTGAAAATGCTCATGTTTGTTGGTTTTATAATACAAATAATATTCCCCCTAAAAGGACAACAGAATTTTAAAATGATAAAATTCCATGAATAACAGCTCTGAGATTCTGGGAATGCCAGGATCTTAGAACTTGTGAATGTCAGAGCTGGAATTTGGAACTCTGCCCCAAAAGGTTACTAAACTCTGCATACCCCTTCACCCGGCAATACCACTATCAGGCCTATACCCCAAAGAGACCAAAGAAGGAGGAAAAGGACCCATATGTACAAAAACATCTATAGTAGCTTCTTTTCTTTTGGCACCTTTATTGTGCAAAACTTTGGTTTATCAGCTTCTTTTCTAGGGGCAAAAAAAAAAAAACAAACTGCACACCAAGGGGGTGTCCTTGGTGACTGGGGAATGGCTAAACCAATTCTGCCATGTGAGTGTAAGAGAAATGGCAAAATGGACAGTTTCAGAGAAACCTGAGAATGGGGCAGCTAGGTGGTGCAATGGATAGAGCACCAGCCCTATATTCAGGAAGACCTGAGTTCAAATCCGGCCTCAGACACGTAACACTTACTAGCTGTGTGACCCTGGGCAAGTCACTTAACCCCCACTGCCCAACCCCCCCCCCAAAAAAACAGAGAAATCTGAGAAGACCTGTGTGAACATCTGATGCAAAGTGGTGCAAGCCGAACCAGGAAAACAATTGCTACAAGCTCAGCTACACTATAGCAAAGACAACTTTGAAAGATTTTGGGTCTGTGATCGCTGCAATGACAAACATTCTGGAGGGCTGAAGATGAAGCAGCTGGCATCTCCTGATGGAGAAGAGATGGACTCAAAATGCAGAATGACACCTATATTTTTCACTAGAGCCAATGAGGGAATGAGTTCATTTGACTTTGTTGCTATGGTTTTGCTTTTTCTCTTTCTCTTTTCTTTCTTTTCCCCTTGCTCCTTTTTCTTTCCTTTTGTTCTCCATTCCTCCCTCCCTCCTTCCCTCCAATTTAATGGAAGAGGGAAGTGGGACAGAAAAACAATGATTAAGGCATAGTCAATTATTTTTTATTAATTATATAATTAATGGTTAATTAATAGAGGGGGGAAAGAATGTCAGAGCTGAGAAAGGACCAGAGATACCACCTAGTTCACTGTCCAGGGAGAGAGCCAACAAGGAAAGAAAGAATGTCACTGAGAATAAGAAGGAAAGGAGGAGTAGAGAACAAATCAGAGGCCCTTGGGGGAGGGGGGAGGGTGTAGCTGAATAATCTGAACAGTAAACAGCTGCTTGGCCACCTGGAAATGATGACGCCCAAACTGTCCAGTAAGGAAGGGAGGCAGTGGATTACAAGGTGCCCTTAGGGGAAAAGGCGCCAGCAACTGGGGGCACCAGGAGTGAGGGGAGCCAGGGATTCTGTGAGGTAAAGAAGAGGCGGGAGGGCTTTCTGGGCAAGGGGGACAGCCGGCACACAGGCACAGCGATGGACTGTCATGTGTGAGCGACAGCAAGAAAACCACTTTGGCTGGATCTCAGAAACCACGGAAGGGAGTGATGTAGAATAAGGCCGGAAAGGTAGGTCAGGGCCAAGTGGCCAAGGCCTTTAAATGCCACAGGGGGAGGGGTGTCATGGGATTTGGGAAACTTCCTTTAGCAGCTAAATGGAGAATGGATCAGAGAGCTGGCAGGGAGCCCAGTGGGAACGTTATTGCAGTAGGAGAGGTGAGCAGTGGCCAGGGTGGCGGCTGGTGCGAGTCGAAAGAAGGGGACCTATGGGAGAGGTGTCGTGGAGACAAGAATCAAACTCGTCAATGGTGCAGGGGAGAATCAGAAGCTGAGGATGACACCAAGGTGGCAAATGTGAGTAAATGGAAGGATGGTGGTGACCTTGACAGTAGCAGAGAAATTCAGAAGAAGATGGGTCAAATATTTTACCAAGATTTCAGCCAACTGTTTGGTAACATTTCTAATGCCATTCCTGTGTAAAATACAGAGTGCGGTACAATTAGTTAGATTCAGAACAAGTTGAAAGGTCAGTCACAAAGAGCCATCAATTCTGTAATTGTTTCCATCTACATGTTGAGCCCTGAGCTTGAGTCTTCCATCACCAACTGCCTGGACATTTGAAATGGGATGTCCTAGAGACATGTCTAAAACTGAACTTAAGACCTTTCCCCCTAAGCCTTCCCATCTTCCAAATTGCCCTGTTTCTGTCAAGGACACCACCATCTTCCCAGTGTCTCAGGTTTGTAAGCTTGGCATTATCCTGGCCCTTGCACTCTCCCTTATCCTATATATCCAGTCAGGTGCCAAATCTTGCCCTTTCCGCCTTTACAACATCTCTCCTCCGACCCCTTCATTCCACTCACACAGCCGCTGTCTTAGTTTGGGCCCTCATTAACTCACCAAGATCATTTCAATTCCCCACTCACTGCTCTTTCACAGGTTTTTCCCCATATGGCTATTCTAGACACAGCTACCAAAGTAATTTTCCTTATGCACAGACTTGACCACGTGGTTCCCCTACTCAGCCAACTGCAGGGGCTTCTGATTGCCTCAGATTCCTCCGGCGCCAGCCTCTCTCTCCAGCCTCACCAGACATCAATCCTCTCTCTGTACTCTGCAATTCAGCCAAACTGACCTTCTCATGTAACACACGATCTCCCCATCTTTTTGCTTCTGTGCTGACTGTCTCTCATGCCCAGCATCCACTCCTCTGTGCCTCATAGAGTACATCTCTCCCTTTAAGATGCACATTGAGCACCGTCTTCGGCAAGAAGCCTTTCCTGAGCTCCTCAACTGCTCCTACCTTTCCTCCCAAGCTACCGTGTATTTAATTACTTTGTATATACATATATATATATATGTATATTATGCTGTATATACCCTTTTATGTACTTGTCTCTTCCTCCTAGAATGTAAACTAATTTTGAATACAACTACTTTGTATATAGATATGTAATTATACTTGGTATATATTTCGCATACAGACACACATTTATTAACTTTATGTTGTATTTTTATATTTTAAGCCATTAAAGTTTAAACCTACATTAAGACTTTGGGGGTACTTTGTCTCCCCCACATGGTGAGTAGATTGTTTTTATCTTTGTATCTCCGGGGCTTGGTACATGTAAATGATTACTAAATAATTACTGACTGGTTGCATATCAACTTGAAAGAATGGACTGCCCCAGATAGTTAATATTTTCATCAGTTAATTGAATAAAAGCACAGATGATACCCTAATCATATTATAGATGATGATCAGGACCCAAAAAGATCATGAGAGGCTGGATAAATGAAATTTAGTAAGTCTGACACTTGGAGTCAAGACGCCAGCTCACAAGTATAATACGGGGAAGGGGAGGCTAGATGGAGGTTCAGCTGAAGAATACCTGGGAGTTTCAGGGGCCAGCAAGCTCAATATGAGTGTGATGTAGGGGGGTCTAACAAGCTAATGTGCTCTCCATCTACATTCACGGAGGCCTAGCTCTGGGGAACAAGGAGGTAGTATCATGCCCTGGTCAGAACATCTCTAGAGTATTGTGTTCAGGTGTGGGCACCACACGTTAGGAAAGCCCTTGGTATACTGGAGAGCATCTGGGGAGAGCAATCAGAATCCAGACGAGTCCCGAGCCAATGCCAGATAAGGATGGGTTGAAGGGGCTGGTGGTGTTTAGCCTAGAGAAGAAAAGACTCAGGGGGCTCCATGAGAACTGGGTCTTGTCTATAACTCTAGAGGAAAAAACTGGGAGGTCTCGGGGATGCAGTCTTTCTATGGGACTGCAATTTCGGGGGAGCAGAGGAAGGTCAGTGGGACGGGGAGGCATCCTGGGAGTCTGGCTTCAGATCTGGGGCTAACCTGGGTCTCTTGCCTAATAAAATCAATAGAACCCAGAGCAAAAAGTGACCTTTGAAGTTGTCCAAAGCTGTTATCTTATCAATAGGGAAACAGCCACCCATGGAGGTGAAGGTGCTTACTGAAGATCACAAGAGGGGCATTTGTTGGGATTCGAACCCAGCCCGTGACTCCAAAGCCATCAGCAGAGGGTCACACACCTGCACTCTGTCTTCCCCCACCTGTCAGCTCAAGGGTCTGGGAAGGAAACTGGGCCTTTCCTGTAGGGAAGCGTTTGGCCGTCTTTCTGAGACCACTAGGACAGCTGTGCCTGGAGGAGGGGTGGGGCCAGAGGAACATCTGGAACTAGAAACCACCCAATGGGACAGAACCACAAGAGCCACCAGCAGATGTGATAGGTTTTGGCTGGCTCTGGGCTGGGAGGAAGGAGCCACAGCCCACTGGTAGAGAGGACCTTTGAAACGATCAGGTACACCGTATCTTTTATAGAGGCACAGGGAACGGAAGAGACAGTCTCACCTATAACTTCATAGTCAGTCAGACAGGGCTTAAAAGCCAGGTACCTGGACTACCAACCAAGGATTTTTCATAGGGGGAAAGCATTGCAGACCAAGCCGAGTGGGTGTAGAAATGCTGGACTCAGTCTCCTAAGGATCAGGGGTCTTGTAAATGAGTCTAGAAAAGGGTTACCTTACGTCTGCACATCGGTCACTACCAGTTGGGTCTCGGGAGGGGACTTAGCCTTACAGCTTTAAGTTAGCACGTGAAGGGGTCTGGAGCTGAGCCACATGGCCCATTCTCCTCATCTCTGAGCCTCCTAACCTAGGTGTTATCCTGGACTCCTCACTCTCCCTCACTCCACATGTCCAGTTAGTTTCCAAATCTTGCCATTTCTACCACTCTCTCTCTCTCCCATCTGACTCCTCTCCACTCCCACAGCTTTACTTCAGGCCCTCATCACCTCGCCCCTAGATTCCTTGGTAATAGTGATACTAACGGGTCTCCCCAGCTCACATCTCTCCCCATTCCAGTCTACCCTACACCAAGTCACTTTCCTGAAGCATAGAGGCGACCTCGTGACTCCCCCCACATCCCCTCCAGTGGCTGACTTCCTACTGCCTTCACTCCCCTGGTTAGCTCTCAAAGCCTCCACCACCTGGCCGCCACCCGTCTTTCCACCCTCATCAGACATCACCCCCCTTCTGCAGTCTGCGATCCAGTCAAGCTGGCCTTCTGTCTCTCATCATGAAGTCTCTCATCTCCCACCTCCATGTCTTTGTACTCTGGCCGTGTTTGGAATGCATTCTCTCCTTACCTCTGCCCCATAGGGGCCCCCTCTACATGTTAGGCCCAGTTCAATTAGATACGGATTACACAATGAACATAAAGTTTGTAACGACAACTATGTACGAGTTAGGATGTAAGCTCCTTGCCAGTAGGGATGATTCCATTCTCTCCGCTTTCATCCCTAGGCCTAGCAGAGTAAGCGATAAAACGCTCGTGGGGTAGTTTTCCATGAATGGTGGTGGTGGTGGTGGTGGTGTGGTCTTCCCTGGATTAATACGTGTGTGGGATCAGTCTCCTGTGGCCCAGGAGGCCAGTGTTCCCTCAATTTATCCATGGGGTGTGTGTCCAAGTTTCTGTCTCCCATGCGTGGCGGCAAAGCAGTATCTTATGGATACATAATATTTGTGTGTGTTGAGGAGTCCTAGTCTCTGCTGGATAAAGGTGCTTGTGTGTAGGGGGATGTTGGTCTCCTGTGGATAGGGGTGTGTGTGTGTGTGTGCAGGGGGTGTCAGTCTTTCCTAGACAGGTGGGGGGAGGGGGAAGGCAGTCAGTCTCTAGTAGATAGGTCTATGTTGGGGGTGTCGGTCTCCCTAGGATCAGTGATGAGTGGTCAGGCCCATCCTATCCAGGTGGATGGGTGGGAGGGGGTCAGTCTCCCAAGGAGCAATGAGGGGGTATGTGTCAGCCTCCTATGGGTCCCTGGGGGCTGTCAATCTCTGCTGGATTACTGTGGGGGGGGGGGTCTGTCTCCCATGGGTCAGTGGGGCTGGGCTGTGTGCATGTCAGTCTTTCCATGGGTCAGTGGTGAGGGGACCAGTCTTCCGAGGGTCAGTGGGAGGTGTCAGTCTCCCATGGATCAATGGGGGTATTAGTCTCCCAGGGTAAGTGGGTGTGTGTGAGGCTCCCATGGGTGGGGAGTATCAGTCTTCCAGGGGTCGTGGCGGTCCCGAGGATCAATAGGGGCTGCCAGTCTCCCACGGGTCGGCGGAGGGGGGTGGTGGCGTGGATCATCCCTGGCTTTCTCCTGGGCAGGGCTCTCCCGCCCAGCTCCCCACTCCCTCTCACCTGCCGCTCGGGGCTGCCGCCGCTGCTCCTCCTCCGGTACGTCTCTGCTTCTCCGACTCCTCCTCCCTTTTTCTCCCCTCCTCCCCTCTCTCCTCCCCCTCCCCCCGGCGCCCAGGCCACGTAGAGCCCGGTGCCCACGGCCAGTGCCACCAGCAGCAGCGGCAGCGGCAGCGGCGGCCAGAGCAGCCGGCGCCGGAGCAGGGGCCGGGTCTGGGACGCCTGGGGCGGATCGCGCTCCCCGCTCCGCCGCCGGGCTCGCCCCCCGCCGCCCCCGTGGGCCCCTCCGCTGACTTTCCGCATGGCCCGGGACCTGCAGAGCAGCCTCTGCGGCCCGGGAAGCCGAGGTGTGCCCGCCGCGCCACGCCCCTCCGGAAATAACCCGGCCAATGAACTTCGGCTGAGTAGCGATCGCGACCAATGGGAGGCCCCGACCCAGGCATACGGGCGCACGGCCCCTTCCGCCTCCTTCGGCGGCAGGATTGGCACCTCAGAAGCCACGCCCACCGAAATCGTCAAGGGAACCCGGCACTTGCCACCCCCATCCTGCCTGTGGACGATTGGACACTCCCCCAATGGGCATGACTCTGATTGGTTCTACAGAGGACACGCCTCCCGAGCTTCTGATTGGAGAAGACGAAGGCGCGCTCTCCTTCAACTAGAGATGGTCGGGCCCAAGTCACACCAGTTTATTTGCTCTCCTGGGAGTCTCGGTGTTCGGGTCATCCCTGCGCCTTGTCCACGTGGGCCCACGAGCTCCCGAGGTCCGGGAAGCCTGGGCTGTTGCCGTTTGGAAGCAACGGCAGAGGGCATCTCTTCCAGCAAGTGTCCTGGACCGCACCCCAAGGGTGGACGTCCTGCCTCAGCTCGGAGCCCCAAAACGTAGGGGAAGCGCCGCGTTCCCTGGCGGCCCATGACATCTGTCTGGGGCAGGGCTAAACCGGGGAAGCCTGACCTGGCCTCAAGCTGCCTTCGAGCTCTGCCCTCTGGGGCCAAATAATTATAGGAATGAAATAATTATCTAGTGCTGGAAGGTTTGCAAATATGTGCTTTACAAATATGATCTCATTTGATCCTCACAAGAAGTCTGGGAGGCCGGTGCTATTCCCATTTTACAGACTAGGAGACAGAAGGCTGACAGAGCTTAAGAGACTTAACCCAGGATCACACAGCTAATAACTGACAGAAGATGCATTTGAACTCAGGCCTTCCTGACTCCAGGTCAAATACTCTATCCACTGCAGACCACCTGTCTGCATATGTTTATGCGAACATAAAAGCACTGTTACTGTGGAATGATCACCAGATTTGAAGACAGAGGACCTGGATTGAAATCATGCCTCTGTCCCCTACTACATGTGTGACCACAGAGCAAGCCACTTCAATTCTCTGGGGCTTGGTCTCCTCTTTCATAAAAATAAGGGCTTGTTCAGCTCTAAACCAATGGACCTAGGGTGCATTATCTAGTTTCTCTTCCATAGGAAAGCCCTTCAAATACTTGAAGACCGCGACCAAATGTCCCTGGAGGGTGAAACAGTCCCACTTCCTTCAGCTTCATGAGCCTTGACCGTTCTAAACCATTCTGGCAACCACCTTGCTTGCCCTTTTCTGGTGACTTTATTTTAGGATCCTGGATCTGAAGGTGGGAAGCACCTCAGGGGCCATCTAGTTCAATTTCTTCATTTTATAGAAGAAACGGAGTTCTAGGGAATTTAATTGTCTTACCCAGGGTTGTCACTCCGGCAGAAAACATCAGAGGTGAGATTTGAATTCAGGTCCTCTGACTCTATAACCTGTGCTCTTTCCTCTGCCCTTCCTAAAATGTGGCCCTTTTTTTTCTTTTTGATGAGGCAATCAAGAGTTAATTAAGTGACTTGCTCAGGGTCACACAGCTGTTAAGTGTCAAACGTCTGAGGCCAAATTTGAACTAAAGTCCTTCTGACTCCAAGGCAGTAGCTCTATCCACTGCGCCAGCTAGCTGCCCCTAAAATCCAGCTTCTTTAGCAGCCAAAGGGTAAACTGTGGTTTGACCATATTGCAAAACATAGCAGGGCACCACCTTTTTTTTTTTAAACCAGATTTGTTATTTCACTGGTATGGGGAATTCCTGATGAGAACTCCCTACACCAATGCAGGGTAGTATTTGCTGTGTGTGTGTATGTGTATGTATATATGTATGTGTATACACACACACACATATCTTCCCTTTAAACTGGCCATCTTGAAGGCCGTCACACACTTCCTTCTCTTGGAATGCCCTCTCTTCTCACCTTCACACCTTAGAATGCAGTTTCCTTCAATGCTCAGTTTAAATGGCATTTCCTACATAAGAACTTTCCTTCCTGATGTCCCATCCCCAGCGGCTTCCCCTGAAGTGCCTTTGTATTTATTTAACTTTGGATTTCGAGGCAGCTGGGTGGTCTGCACATCCGTGCTCAGGGCAACTGGAGTTTGAATCCTGCTTTTGAGGGCAGCTGCGGAATGCTGGCAAGTCCCTTAATCTTCGCTGGCTTCAGCTCCATTGTTTGAACAAAGTGGGCAACTGCAGCATCTACCTCTCCGGTTTCGGTGAGGATCAAATGACCACTTTGTACACCTTGAAACGCTACATAGATGTTGGCTGTTACATATAACAGTTCTAATTGACTTAGCTCTTATATTTTTAATTTATAACATTTTGGGTTTAGTTTTCTGCGGGCACAGTCTCCCCCTACAGCATTTACGCTCCTTGAAAGCAGAGGCTTCCATTTTATATCTTTGGATATCCAGTGTCTACCAAAATGCTGGCAGACAGTAGGTGCCTAGTAAATTTGAGTTGACTGATTTGTATGGGGAACACAGGCTAATAAAAACTTCAAATCTTTTACAGAGGTTGGGCTAGAAAATCTGGCCACAGCACTGACATTTTACAGTCATCAAGATGAGGGCAGCTACTCAGTCTTATCCACAGGGTACAGAATCTGAAACTTTCTTAGACCCTAAACATCAGTTGTTTGACCTTGGGAGGCTCTCAGAAATCACGCCACCCAGAAGCTGATGTTAATGTTATTTTTCAGGGATGTCCTACTCTTCATGACCCCATTTGGGGTTTTCTTGGCAAAGGTCCTGGAGTGGTTTGCCATTTCCTCCTCCAGTTCACTTGTACCAAACTGAGGTAAACAGAATTAAGTGACTTGCCCAGGGTCACACAGCTCGTAAGTGACATGTGTTGTGACTACATTGTGGGGCTCCAGGCTGAGGCAGAACGTCCACTCTTGGGGTGCAGTCCAGGACACTTGCTGGAAGAGATGCCCTCTGCTGTGGCTTCCAGACATGTGTCGGACACTGGATTTGAACTCATGTCCTCCAGACTCCAAGGCCAGAGCTCTATCCACTGCGACATCTAGCTGCCCGTTGCCTATGACTTCTTCAAATAACTCAATCCTGCCTTTGATACTTGTTAATAATGTGACCATGGACAAGTGAGTTAATTGGAGCCTATTTCTTAGGTAGCTGTAAGCCCTAGTTCAGTGTGTTGCTGTGAGGGTCAGATGAGGTCCATCTAACCTTTAAATGCTATACCTCTGTCATTATCAAAAGCTCCTGGTTCTGGCTGTAGTCTTCCTGGATTCCCCTAGTTAGCAATAATCTTCCCCTAGGGAGCACCAGCAAAGGACAGTGAAAACAGTCAGAGAACTTCCTTCCAGCTCCAGCCCTGGCCCTTATCATCTATCTCTATGGCCTTGGGCAAGTCACAGGATGGCAGAATTTGAAACAAAAAGGTAACTCCAAAGTCATCCTGTTCAAGCCCCTCATTTTAGGGACAAAAACACTTGGGCGTAGAAAGAGTCAATGCTCTCCCCCACGGGCATGTAAGAGAGTTAGGTGGAAGAGGCTAGATTCAAACCGAGGTTCCCCAAATTTCAGCCCAATGCCTTCTACTCTACCATGATGCCAATGTCACTTCTCAGGCCTGAGCCTTGGGATCCTCATCTGTAAAGTGAAGGCCACTGGACCGGAAGCCCGCTCAAGGACCCTCCTACTACCTCTGCAACAATGATCTGCTGACTGCACACAGCCCTCAGTTTCATTCAGTTGTTTTTTAGTTGTGTCTAACTCTCTGTGACCCCATTTGGAGTTTTCTTTGCAGAGATACTGGAGTGGCTTCCCATTTCCTCCTCCAGCTCATTTTATAGATGAGGAAACTGAGGCAAACAGGGTGAAGTGACTTGTCCAGGGTCACACAGCTAGTATCTGAGGTCATATTTTTAACTCAAGAAGGTGAGTCTTCCTGTCTCCAGGCCTAGTACTCTATCCACTGAGCCACCTAGCTGCCCTCTGTTCACACCTTTCTAACACACCTGTGATGTATTACAGTCATCAGTTTTGGTGTCTTCTCTCTCTGGGCTAGCCTGTGAGTGCCAGGGCAGACGTGGTGTGTTATCTACACTGTATATTCTCCAGGGCCCAGTACCGGGGGGGGGGGGGGGGGGGGGGGGGGGGGGGTCATTCCCCTAGCACATGCTCAGTACATATCTGAATGAACTACCGAAGGTCCCCTGATACACGGTATATCCTTGGTAACTCAGGGGCCATTGTAAAAGGGAAGGAAAGCCCGAGGTTTGCCATCAGAGGACCTGGCTTTAAATGTTGGCTCTGCTAATTACAGAGCCTGTGTGACCTGAAACGAGGTTCTTGTACTCTCTAAGCCTCTGCTGTCTGTCTCTCTCTCAGCGCAGACTGCAGCATTAACCATCAGACCGGGTCCCTGTGCTGGGGAAGGCACATCTGAAGGTGACTGTGAGATTTTCAAAGTCTGTGATAATAACAGCTTTATGGAAAGAACATGTCATTTGAAGTCGATGATTTGTAGCTCTAAATTCTAAGACCCTACTAGTTAAAATGTGGATGATGGTCTTGTTAACTTCCCAACCCAAACTGGTCCTCCGGACGCCTCCCCACTCCAGCTCCCACTCCCTGAACACAGACCAGCCCAGGCCCAGACTTATAAATAGCTGCTTTATAGAAAGGGCCGATTCCCAAACCGGCCAGACTGCCACACATTAGAAGCATTCAGAACCACAAAGATGTAAAAACAAACAAAAAACCCACCACAAAACAAATAAACAAAAACAAAATTAGACTGTCCCAGATTGGATTCCCAGCTTCCCCAAGAAACCCAGGAGTCTGTTTTTCTTCTGGGAGCCAAGTGGAGGTGAGCCTAGCCCTGCAAAGAGAGCACCAGAGCCCCCCAGAGTTTGCTCTGAGTTGAAGTGGGAAACCCAGAAATTCCAAGCCAGGTTCCCACCACTCTCAGAAAGGATTCACAGCTTTGGGATTGGGGGTTGCTTTAAATTGTGGGGTGAGAAGCAAATGGATTCAAATCTTTAAAAAAAAATGTTTTTCCTTCTCCCTACTCCAAGGAAGAGGCAGGGGAGATTATGGATGAGGCAGATTTGGGAGAAGATGCTGCTAATGTCTCTTCCAGAGACTGGAGAGAAACATGAAGGGGGAATGGGGGAGGGGGGTAGAGAGAAGGAACTAGAGGTCTGGAGACTGTCCAGGAGCGTGGACAGGAGGGACAGTGAAGGTAACAAGCAGTCTAGGGGAGGGGGCACTGGGGATTCAAGAGAAATGACGGTGAGGACTGGAGGAGATGGACAGATGGGGATATGTCGGGGTGTTGGACAAGGCCTCAGTCTACTCTCTGCTGGCAGGGCCCTTGTGGGGAGAGACTGAAAGGGGACAGGGCCCTGGCTCATACCCCAGCACCATCCCCACCTGGTGAGGCCAGATCAGAGGAGGAGAGGAGGAGAGGGGGCTGAGATGAAGACCACATATTACTGAGATGCCTTCTCCATTCCCGGGCCCAAAACACCTTAGGGAGAGCAGACTGTCCACAGGGCTTAAGTGACAAAGCCGATCAAAGGGGGTGTCTCTGGCAGGCTCCTCGTTCCCGGTTTGATCGGCTACCGCTCGGCGGAGGGGCTGGGAGGGGGGGGCGGGCACTCCCTCCCCCTCCCCCCCCTTCACCTGGCGTCCTCGCGGCCGGGCCGGGAGCCTGCCAGCGTGTGGCAGGGCAGCACCCAGTTGTTGTCGTGCAGGCCCAGCCGGCAGCCCGGCGTGTCCTTGTCGGGCCGCCGGCAGCACATCCAGTAGGAGCGGCCGTACGGCAGGTCGTGGTGGTAGGGCTTGGGGTGCCAGCGGCACAGCGACACGTCCCCCTTCTCGTAGCACTTGCGGCACTGCTTGCAGGGGTCGTCCCGGTACAGCGGGTGGCGGCTCCAGCGGGAGTCCGTGGCCTGCACGCCGAACGTCTCGATGACGCACTTGAAGTAGTGGCAAGTGCACTTGAGGGCGGCCAGGGCGCGGGTGGGCAGGTAGCCGAAGATCTTCACCAGGACGTGGTCCGGCAGCAGCAGCATGTACTGGCGAGGCTCGAGTAGGCGCTGGATCTTGAAGCGGATCTCCAGGAAGTCATGCGAGACGTGGTGGTAGAGGCGGCACAGGGAGGCATCGGAGGCCCCGCCTGCCGTCTCAGGCTCTCCGCCTTCCGGCGTCGGGGCGGCCGGCGCCTCCGGGGCGGCCGGCGCCTCGGGCGCCGGCTCCCCGCGGGCTGGCAGCAGGAAGAGCTGGCCCGGGGGCGGGGGCTCCTCGGGGCTGACCGTCAGGCACACTGTCTCCTCCTTCACAGTCTTTGCACCGTCCTTGCCGAAGAAAACACACTCATCCACCACACCGGTGACCACCACGTCCACGTGGAAGCCTGCAGCGCCAGCTCCCCCGCACTCCCGGACCCCCGTGGGGGGCGGGGGCGGGGCCGGGGGCTTATCCCCAGCAGCTCTTTCCGGAGGCCCCTCGGAGCGGGTGGCTCCTGCGGCCTCCCCTTCGCCGGCCTCATCCGCCCGGGCCAGCAGGAAGTCCACGTTGCTGGGCAGGGCGTCCCGGGACGGGCTGATGAGCTGGTACAAGTCACAGGTGATCTTGTCCTGGGCCCGGCTACTGGGGCCCGGCCCTCCGGCGTATGCGCACCCTGGCCGGCCGCTGCAGCCCGCCCCTGGCTGGCTGCCTTCCGGAGAGCGGGGCTCACGGCCGCTGGAGATTCGAAAGGCGATGCGCACCTCGCCAGGTCCTCCGCTGCGGCCCCCGTCCCCTGTGTGCATCTCCTCCTTGCGAGGCCCATCTCGCTGGGCCTCAAAGTGGGCCACGGCCTCGGCCACACGACTGCAGTCGCCGCCTGGCCGTCGCTCCCCACCGGAGCCCCGGGCGCCCTGCTCGGCGGCTGACACGAACACAACGGGAGTGGGGGGCCCAGAGCGGGGGTAGCTCTGCAGGGCCAGAGCCGCCCTCTGCTCCACCAGGGCCACCATCTCGGCCACGGAGAGCAGGTCCACGTCCTCGGGGGCACCGGCAATTGTCTCACCAGGAGCAGGCAGCTGCTGGTCCTCCTCTCCCACGACATCAGGAGGCTTCCCGGGGCTGGGGCGGGGCTTGGTGGAGTCAAGGCAGCGGCGCCTCCGCTTGGCCTTGGAACTGTCACTGCCCCAGTGGCCCTTGACCTTCCCGGCGCTGGCCCGACTGGCACCACTACCGCACTGGTGGGCCACAAAAAAAGCCACCTTCTCCTTGGTGTTGCCTGGCTTGATGACATACCAGGTATCGAGCAGGACCCGGCCCTCTTCACCAGGGGCCGTGGAAAGCAGGGGAGCTGCGGGGGCTGCGGGGACTGGAGGCGTGTTCTCTGATCTGGCCAGCCCATCGCTGGTGCCGATGCTGCTACCACTCCCGGGCTCTGGGCAGGCAGGGGGAGGTGGGGGCTTTCGAGAGGAGGGGGCCGCGGAGCGGGGCTGATTCTGAGAATAGGTACCAAAGGGCCTTGGGCACCAGAGCTGCACTGGAGAGAGGCTGCTGGGGTCCATGGCTGTTGGGCCAGAGGAGTGTCACCACATGCTGAAGACCTGGCGGTGGAGATGAAGGCGCCCAGAGCCACCTGCGGAAGGGAAGACAGACAAAGGCATCTGCTAGATGCTGCAGAAAGAACCGATCTTTTTTTTTTTAAATTAAGAAACTGACTCCCAGTCTCAAAATTGGGAGAACTCACAATGTAGAACCTTAGAACATGGAACCCCTGAGCTGAGATGGACAAGCAGCAGCACAGTGTAAGGGGAACTATGCCATTTGGAGTTTGGGGGAGGGGTTCATCTTGTTTTGCCCCTTCCCTTTCCTTCTTTTGGGCCCCTGTTTATTAACGGTCCTAGGACACCTATGCTTGGGCTCACCTGGTGGTTCATGCTATAGGATTTCTAAGGGCTGTGTGGGGAGGCCAGACACCATAGTAATTTGGGGAGCTGACCAAATGATCATGCCACGTGAGGATGAGCTGAAGGAACTGGGAATGTGTCAGCTGGAGAAAAGAAGATTTGGGGGCTTCAGGGAGGGATGAATGTCTTTAGAAGAGGACCTGAATTTTCAGGCAAAGCAGCAGCTTTAGGCCAGATGGAACGAAAAGCTTTGAGAGCCATCCCAAAATGTGATAAATGGTCTGACAAGGGACAAAAATGCTTTCCCCTCTCTCTGGGGTTCTTCAGAAAGAGGTTGGGCACTTTGGGGGAGATGCTATAGACTGTGCCAGGAGGATCATCAGAACACACCGGACCCCAAGGATCAGAGATCTGGAGCTGGAAAGTGCCCTGAGGCACAGAGAGTAAAACACTGGCTCCAGAGGGGAAGGACTGCTTTGGCCAAATCACGAAACAAGTGGACTCTTAGGGCCCTCCTGCTTCCAGGGCCCCTTCCACTCCAACATGGACCCTTTGTCTCCTCAGCTCCTCCACACCCCCTCTTCTATAACCCTGTCTGGCTCACTGCACCCAGCACACTCCTCAAACACCCCGGCAAGAACTTGCAGCACTGCCCACAGCTATGGAGGCCGGGGCCCACTGGCCAGAAGGAACTGCAAGGAGAGGGAATACTTGTCAAGGCTCTCAGAGTTAGAATGGAGGGACCCAATAAGATAATGGGGTACAAACTCATGTGACACAGGAGGATCTTCCACATAGGCTCTTGTCCTGTCCAAATGGGCATAGCACCCCCCTGGGGCATGGGTCAGGCCTCTTCCTCCTGGCCCTATTTCCTCTGCCTTCATAACCCCTTCACCTTCCCTAACCCCCAACCTCAAAATTCAGACACCAAATAAATCCACCCCTCCCCCACAGTCCTTTCACCCAGACTCCTCTCCAATTGCAGGCAGATATACATCTACTGGGCAGAGCCCTGCGAGGTCATTCTAGAACCAATGCTTTATCTTATAGATGAGCAAACTGAGGCCCAGAGAGGCAATGACTCGCCCAAGGTTACACAGCTAGACAGCTGCAGGGACCAGGGCTCGCGACTCCAAATGTAGACCCCTTCCCAAGGCCCCCAGAAGGCCTACTGGTCCGCTCCCCCTCCCGACTCTGGGTAAGGTTCAGAGGGAATCCCGGAGCGTGGGAAGTCAGAGCGCATGCGCCAAGAGTGCTGGTTAGAGCAGGCCACGCCTCCCTCCTCGTTCTCCAGGCGCCCGGGCTCTCGTCCAGCCTTCCAGTGAAGGTAAGGCGAGAGGGAGGGGGGAAGGAAGGAAGGGTGGAAAGTAGAGCCATCCCGGGAGCCCGCGCCACCACACCCCCCCCGCCCCTTTGTTGACAGACTCGCGCATGACGGCGCGGCCCAATGAGAGGCCGCTGTTCGGGGCCATGCCCATATATGGATGGACATCGGCGAAGGGGCGGGGCCTGGAGACGTGGGGGATGGGAAGGTGTGCACCAGCTGGCCAGGGAGCGTCCTCCAGTTCCTAAGCCCGCACTCTCCCGTGCGGAGGGAGGGGGAAGGATTTACATCCTCCACGCGTCTTTCTTATCTAGGCTCCCTGAACTCCCCTACTCCCTCCACCCCACCCCTATCTTTCCCCCCTCCCCCGCCGTGGACAGGGCGGGATTTAAAGCTCCAGGCCCGCAATGAAACAGACACTCAAAAGGCAAAGTGAAGTGGGTGGAAACCCGGCGGGAAGAGTTAGAGGGGGAAGCCTGGAGCTGCCCCCAACCCCCTAGGAAATCGGGGGCCCCCATCTCTTCCAGGGCCCACCAACTATTCAAGCAGCGTCTCACTCCCTGGCAGGGGAAACGGGCCAGTGAGGGTGGAGGGTGGGCTCTAGAGCCGGGATCGAATCCCCCTGGCCCCCGGCTCTCCGGGCAGTGCCCAGAACACAGCAGGGGCCCCGAACACGTCGGACAGCTCCAGAGGGCAGGGGATGTGCTTGGGGTCACAAGGCCCTACCCCACTGCCACCGCACACGGCCTGGGCAGAGTCTAGGGGGAACCTGACTTCAAATCTCACTCCGGGCACCTACTAGTGCGAGACTCAGGGGAACTTAGTGACTTAGCCTCCACTCTAAAATCGAGTCACAATGCCAGAGACCAGGCCATGGAGTGTACTGTGAACCTTAGGGTGTTATACAAATGTCAGCTAGGATCTTTATCCTTAGACACCCTCTCCCACCACCCCCAGGAGCTGGGAGGAAAGCAAACTTCAGTTTGGGAAAGATACTCCTGCCTCCTCTAGCCGCTGGTGATTTCCTGTTCCTTACAGTATGGAGTCCAAGCTAGGATCACATTGATTCCGAAATACCTGAGTTTGCGTTCCACCACAGACACCACCCACTGGCTCTGTGCTCTAAACAGTCCACTTAACCTCTGGGCCTCGGTTTCCCCATCTGTAAAATGGGCATCATCATAATAATAATTATATCGGCCACTTCAGAGGATGATGGTGAGTCTCACATGAGATAATATCTGTAAAACACTTTGGAAACCTGAAAGTGCTACATAAACGTGAGCTGTCTGCTATTTACATTTTCAATGAAATTTTATTGACAAGCTGTTGTTATTGTTACTATCCTCCATAGCCCACAGGATAAAGGTCAAAATCGATTCAGTGCAATAATCATTTAAGTGCCTACTATGTGCCAGGCAGGTGAAGCTAACTTCTGAGTTTGGCATTCAAGGCTTCTATAACCAAGGTTCAACTTCTCTCTCCATCCTCAGGCCCATTTCCCAGCCCCTATCGCAGCCCTGAAGCCTGCCCAGTCAAGTAGTAAGTCCTTCAAGAAATACTTCCAGCCCTTTTTCCAGGAGCTGCTGAACACCACCAATGCAAATCCTTGGCACTCACGGTCTGCCTTATACAGCTACAGACTGGGAGCTCCCTGAGGACAAGGACCAGTTGTCATTCACTTCTTTTTTCCTTAACTTCTAAAGGGATTTACAGCCAAAGAGAGAAGCTTAGAATCAGAAAGTACTTACAATCTAGAACACTCAGACTGTGAAGCTCAGCCACAAGGCCTCCATTTTACAGATGAAAAAACTGAGGTCCAGAGGCAATGGAATTGCACCAGGGTCAAAGCAAATGTCTAAGGCCATCTATGCACCTCTACCCCTGCCCCACACACACAGAGCAGATGCCAGGGCACAGAGCTGGGGGTGTGCCTCCCACTTCAGGGCTCTTCACTACATCTTATGCTCAGGCACCCCTTCACTGGACCAAGGACATAGAGCCCCTTTATCCTTGGTCCCCAGATCTCATCTTGATGGGGCTCCTTAGGGACATGAAAGCCGAGAGGCTGATACCCAGATACAAGGCCCAGCTCTGATGGCAGAAATAAGCGACCTGGATCAGACCTGGCTGTCTCTTACTACCAGTCCTTTGTCTAGGAATAAAATTCCCTTTGCCCAGCCTTAATCTTGTGCCCTTCCCCTTTTGGGGATATCAGTTTCCCCAACTGTAAAATGAAGAGGCAGACAGTCTAAGGTGCTTCCCAGCTCTGACATTCCTCCCAGCTCAGATATTCCGGGTTCTAAAATCCTTTCCTGTTGCGACATGGCCTGTTGTTCCAAAGTCTCTCTCCACTCTGATATTCTCTGTTCTGTGGCCTCTCTCAGCCTTGATGTTCCATGTTCTAAGGTCAATCCAGGATCCGACATTCCCTGTTCTAAGATCCCTCCCAGCTCCGACACCCTGAAATATGGGGGCCCTCCAGGCTCTCTGGCTCTCCGGGTTCCCTGAACTCCCTGGGGATTCTGCAAGGAGGAATAATACCGATGGTCAGGCTGGTCCCAGACCAAGGATGGGGTGCTGATGGATGGTCCAGGGGACTTCGGGGTGGCTGAGGTTTCTGGGCGTCCAATGATCTCTGGAGCCACTAAGGGGCTTTGACTTCGTACAAACACACCTGCCCGCTCCTCTTACGGATGGGAAACTGAGGCCAAAGACGCCCGCTCCCCCCCCTGCACAGGTAGGGAAACTGAGGCCGGAGAGAGGCCAAACTGGGAGGGTGGTGGAAGGACTAGAAGAGGAGGCGGGACCACCGCCCCCCCCAGGGTCAAGACCCCTGGGCGGGGGCGGGGCAGGAACGAGGCCCCTTCCTCCCACCTGTCTCCCCTCCCCCCAGCTGCCCCGCCCCCCCGGCCCGGTCTCCGCGCGGGGACGCTCCCAGCGCCCGCCTGGGGCCTCCCCTGCCCGCCTCCCCCCGTCCCCCCTCCTCGGCCTTACCCGCTCCGGGCGCCCGCAGGTCGCTCCGCGCCAGGGAGTCCCCTACTCACTCACTCCACTCAATCCACTCACTCGCCCTCCTGCCTCCACTTCCGGGTTCTCGGCGCGGGGCACGCCGGGAGTTGTAGTTCGGCGCGGGGTCGGAGGGGACGGGAAGGGCGGAGGGGAGGGAGGGACTTCATTTCCCAGAAGGCCACTCTGTCGGGAAGATCGGAGACGCGGGGCCGAGATCTTCTATGGGAATTGTAGTCCCCGGGACGCCATTTTGGCCAGAATCTTCTCTCCCTTGGGACTTGGATTGTGAACACCACAGTGGGAAAAAGGACCAATGCCATTCCCCCTGGCCTTTCAGACCCAAGGACAGGGCTGTCAAATATGCACCAGGCACTATCCTAGGTGCTGAAAATAATAAGGCAAAAAATGAAGCAGGGCCTGTCATTCATTCTGTTGATAGACGGCTGTTGAAACCCGTCTAAATTCTGTATCCATGATCCTGTAATCCAGGTCTCCTGGACTTCCCTAACCGCACCTTGCTGTGCTCCACATACTGTGAAATCTAAGGACCCAGCCTTTCTTGCTTTTCCTTTGTACATGGCATTCCATCTCCCTGACACTGTCCCATCATGATAAAATACTCTCCCTCCTCTTCTCTGTCCCAGTTAAAATCACATCTTCTGCAAAAGGCCTTTTCCAATCCCCCTTAATGCATTAGTACCCTCCCTCTGAGATTACATTGATTTTTTCTGTATAGATGTTGTTTGTACAGAGTTGTCTTCATTATTAGACTGTAAACTCCTCAAGGGCAAGAACCGATTTACCTTTCTTCATAGCTCAGTATTTATCACAATGCCTGGCACAAAGTGCTTACTAAATACTTACTGATTGGACTATGAGTTCTTTTCACCCATCCACTCACATATTGCCTCTCTAGAATTATTTTAAATGTGTGTGTGTGTGTGTGTGTGTGTGTGTGTGTGATTTTTAGGGCTGCAAGGGAGCTTAAATAAGGATCATAGTGTGCAGAACCAAAATGATGAAACCAAGACCAAGATGGGAAAGGATTTGCCCAATTTTAAGCACAAGCCCTCATTTTACAAATGCAGAAAATGATTGTGGGGCTTGTGGAAGACAAGGCTTGGAAGAAAGAGGGCCATACTTGGGGTAAGGACCTGGGTGTTTGCATCTCATTTCTGCTATTTACCATCTTGTATGAACTTGGGTAAATTACTTCCCATCCCAACTCAGGTTTGCTTACTTCCAAACTGAATGGGGGTTAGATCGTCACCTCTAAGAATTCTCCCAGTTCTATATCCTATGATCCTCTATCCTTCACTGAAAGGGAACTCTCTACCTTGAGTATATTAGTTTAGTGTGTTAGATAGAGCCCCAGAGGACTCATGTTCTGGTCCTGAATTTGCCCCCCCCACCCCTCCCCTGCCCTCGACTGCTCTGTGCACAAGAGAGAGTCAGGCAGGTCAGACTACCACCACCTTGTCCATCATCTCTCCTCAGACCCTAAAGGAGGAAGCCCAGAACCCTGAGCTCAAGAACCTCTGGAATAGTCATGCTTCCGGCCCGGTGTTAAATGGTTCAGCACTGGGGCAGCTAGGTGGCGCAGTGAATAGAACTCTGGCCTTGGAGTCGGGAGAACTGGAGTTCAAATCCAGCCTCAAACACTTAACGCTTACTAGCTGTATGACTCTGGGCAAGTCACTTAACCCTGATTGCCTCACCAAAAAAAAAAAAAGTAAATGGTTCAGCATCAGAAACTGATATGATTGTATTAGTGGAAATTACATTAGAGAAGAGGTCACAGCATCTGCTTTGCTGCTGCTCCCTCAAGTACCTTGGGAACTTTCCATAGACTTGCAGCTGAGACTTTCCGTGTGTGTTGTCTTCCCCCCCCATTGAATGTGAGCTCTTTAAAAGCATGGACTCTTTTCTAGTTGTGCTTCTAGTGCTTTGCACATAGTAAGCGCTTAATGAATGTTTAATTCAGTCATTCATTCCAATGAGGTCACTTAATTTAAGGTCAATTTTCTTTGCCTCATTTCCCCATCTGCAAAACGAAGGAGTCGTCCCGTTCAGATCCTGAATTCTGAGCGATGAGAACTGAGAATCAGGATCAGAGCAGGGACTTGAATCGGATTGCTAACCCACCAAAGCGAAGCAGGCTCTCGTAAGCCTCAGACCCGGGCGGGACCGGTGCGCACCGTGGCTACAGTAACCGAGCAGGGGAGAGGCATCGGCCGGAGGAGCGTCTCTGGAAGCGAGGCCACGCCTCCCCCCAGGCCCCTAAGACTTCTGATTGGCTCCTGTGCTTATGGTCCCTCCTCGTATCTCTCTCCTCCCTCCCCCCCGCCCTTTTTGGGGCATCCCCCCAGATTGGCTCGTGCCCCCCCGGGGGCGCTGAAGTTCTTTTGGTCCAACGGCTGTCCTTCCACTTAGGGAAAGTAGTGGGCCTGGGAGCCTGCAGCCATGTCCTGATCCTCCCTGTGTCACCTGGAGCCAGTCCCTTGTCCCTCAACCCCAGTTACTGGGCCTCAGTTTCCCCATGTGTGAAACAGAAGGGGTAGCAGGCATGCCTGCTCTTGGGACTTTAGAAGTTGTGCAGGCCGACACCCCTCATTCTGAAGGCGGGAAAGCTACAAGGGAATGCCCCCAGCGGGGTTCTCGGCACTCCACCACGTGACCCTTCCCACAGGAGGACCCCCTCCCCGATTCCGCGGCCTCCACCCATCCAGTGCAGCCCCTTCATTCCCATGGATGGTTTGCTCCACCAGGCCCGAGCCATGATGGCCTTCCGGGACTGGGGAGGGGGAGGGGAACGAGAGAAGTACATCCACGTCTGCCTCGGTTTCCCCATGTGGAAAACCAGGGCCTACATGGCATCTACAAGCTCTCTTCTATTGGTGATGGAGGCCTTGAATGCCAGACTGAAGAACATGGTGGAAAGGACAGGAAAGGGGATTGGAAAGTGAGAGAGTCCCGTGAAGACAGTGGGAGGGAGTGGTGGGGCGCAGGGGGATCGGGAAGGGGAGGTAACAGGTCCTCCTTTTCGAAGCCCCCCCCCCTCCAGGGACGTTAACGTTGACAGTTGACAGTTGACGGTTGACAGTTGACAATTGGAGGGAGGGCAAATACCTTGGACTGGGAGGAGTCTTGGGGAATTGGCGGGCGGGGAGGCGGCGGAGCCTGTGGTGGGAAGGGGGAAGGGAGGAAAGGAGCCTGCTAACTAAAGTGGCGCGGCCCCCCCAAAAGGCGGGAAAGCGCCTCGTGACTGGCGGGCGGGGCCTAGATGACTGGAGGCGGAGCGTCACGAGTCAGCTCAGCTCAAAGAGAGAGCCAAGAGGCTGGAGGGGGGCGAGAGGGGCGGAGCCAACCAGGCTTCCGTCCAATCCAGGGCAGAGAGTGCGAAGCGCGGGAAGTTCGGGAAGCTCGAGGCCTGCTGCAGGGGAACGGGGCGGGGCCAAAGCAGCGAGGCGGATCGCGATTGGCCTGCCGGTTGGGCGTGCGCGGGCTGCAGCTGGGCTTCAAGGCAGCTGCGGCTACTGCAGCAGAGAAGAGGACGAAGGCGGCTGCAGCGGCACGCGCTAAGTCCAGGCCCGGGGTTCGCAGGCCGGAGGGCCGGGCGCGCGTGCGCGTGGCCGACTTTCCCCTGACCTCCCTTCCCCCTCCCCGGCCCACCCGGGGTCTCGCGCCCGCTCCCGGGCAGCGGTCCGGGGGCAGGACGCAGCTGGAGGGAGGCCGGGGCTGGAGGAGGCGCGGCAGGAGGGTACTGGGGCGGGGGAGGGGGGGTACCGACTGGGCACACCGCCTGCCCTCTCTCCTCAGGGTGGGGCCGCCCACCTCGCCCCGGTGGTCCCTCCCCATGCCCCGCCCCCAGATCTTCTGGCCCCACCCAGGGGCCCTGTCCCCCTCCCCCAGCTCCCTTGGCACCTCCCCCAATCTGCGCCCCACCCAGGGGCCCCTCCCCCATGCCCTTCCCCCATGCCCTTCCCCCAGCTTTCTACTCCCTCTCTTGACCCCTGCCCACCCCACCCACCTGCTTCCCAATTCCCAGGGTCCCTTCCTTTCTATCTCTCCCTAACTAGGGATGCTCAGAACCTTCCCCCATGCCCTGCCTCCCTCCCTTCTTGATCTCCTTTTCCTGCCTCCAAGGGCCTTGCCCCCCTCCCCCCGCCAAAAAACCTTGCCCTGTCTTCTAGGGTCTCCTCCACCACTGGGGAAGCCTGCATTCTTCCCCTGGGGCCCCACCCGCAATGTCTCCCTTCCCATGCCTTGGCCCTCTACCTCCCAGAGTCCCTCCCCCAGATCCTTCCTCTCACTTCCCTAAGGCTTCTCCCCCACACTTGTCCTCTCCCTTCCTGCATTCTCCCCCCTGAAGATGCCCAGGTCCCCCCCTCCATGCCCTGCCCTCCCCCTCAGTTCCTTCCCTCCAATACAATCCAGGGGCCCTTCCACCCAATTCTTCCTGGGCCTTGCCTCCTTCTTCTCCCATCCCTCACTCCCCAGCTGGCCTGTATCTCTAAGGCCAATGACCCAGCACTCCCCTACCTGCCTTAGGGAGCCTTTGCCAGATTTCCCCCTTCCTCCCAGATCCTGATCTCCCCTCCTTTATATTTCCTCCACTCCTTCCAGGGCCCCAGGAGAAGAGATGACCGTCTTCTCCCCATGGATTCTGCCTCCTTTCTTAGAAGGCCAACCTGGGGCCTCCGGAGAGAAGTGCCAGTCCCAAGGGTGTCAGAGGCCAATGGCCCACTCATTACCTCCCCTTCTTTCATCTCCCTTTCCAGATGTGGGGCCCCAGTGGACACCTGTATCCCCCTGAACGGCCCCAAGGAGGCCCTGGCTGCGGAATGGGCCCACTCTGCCCCAGTGAGAGGTAACAGGGGAGGACCAGGAGGGGGAAGGGGTCTCCTCTTTGTACCAGAACAGAAGACAGAGCTGGAGATGCTTAACAAAGGGAAGAGAGGTGGAGAGAACATTGGATTTGAGTCCAAAGGTCTGGGTTCCAATTCCGAATATGCTACCTGTGTGATCTGGGACAAGTTGATTCGTCTTTGGGTCTTAGCTTCCTCATCTGAAAAATAAAGGGGTGGATTAGGTGGCCTTTGAGGTTTTTGCTGTTCCTGGACTTTCTGATAATGTGATTTTTCAAATACTTGCCCTGTGCAAGACAATTTAGTTGTTAAACTTGGCCTAGAGAGGGCTGGGAGGGGATATTGCAGAGAGGTTGCCTGAGTGGAGCTTGAAAAGAAAAGAGACCTAGAAGCAGAACGGGTCACCTTTTGAGGGTTGGGGATTCCCCATTACTGAAAAGCTTTAGCACAGACTGGAAGAGCCTTGTGGGAAATCGGGCAGTTTGACAGGGTGGAAAGCTAGCTGAAGCTCATGAAGGATTGCTTTGGTGCCCTGCCTGTGATGCTAGCTTTGGGACTTTGGGCAAATCAGCAGCAACAGCAGCTAGCACCTACTTTATGCCTGATACCTGCTGAGCCAGGGGTACAAAGAAGGGCAAAAATAGTTCCTGCCCTCAGGGAGCTTGCCTTTTAAGGAGCAAAGCAACAAATAATTTGGTGCACACTAGATAGATATACTTATCTAGCTATACACACACATACAGATTAGATTGAAGGCAATCTGGTGGGAGGAGAGGGGAGAGAAATGAATAGCAACCAGGAGGAGACCATGAAAACCCTCCTTGGATAAGTGGTATTTGACCTGAGGATACCCCTCGTTCAGTATGAAAGGAAATGAATTTTAGCCTTTACCATCCTCTCCTCTGGGATTATGTGAGCCCCATGTTGGGAACTTTCGATTTAAAGGAATCCCTCTAGCAAATTGGGAGGATGGACCCCTTTTAGGAGGATTTACAGGAGAACATGGATGAAGGTTGCACAGAATGAGAGGCTGTGATCTTTTCCATCTGTAATTTTATATGGAGCACCCACATTCATGACAATCAAAGATTCATCATACTATCAAAGTAGTACTGACTTTACCAGGGTGTGAGGGTCATTTGAGCTAGTGTATGTAATGATTTGGCCAGTCTTAAATCCTTACTCTGGCATCATCATCATCATCATTATGATGCTCTGGGGAATCCTGCTTGGTGCTAAGCTGGACAAGGAGGCCTCAGAGGGATCTTTCAGCTCTGAAATTCTCGCTTCTGCTCCTGGTCCAGTTCCAGACAAGGCCCTCAGGGAGCCCCCACTGCTCTGTTTGCAGGAGCTTAAGGCACAGACAGCCTGTCTGCAAGCAGGAGTGGCTTTATCCTAGTGTCTACAGCTTCCATTCCCTTTGGGCCCAAGCTGTGCTTCCCCAAACAGCTCTAAGTCAATGAAACTTGAGTGAAAACCATCAGCAAACTGTGCCCTCCGGATTGGGCCGTTCCCTGGGGCTTTTTTCTGAGGCCTGTCTGTGTCTCCCCAAACCACCTTCTCCTCCTTTGGAAGTTTTACAGCCCCACACAAACACAAAGATGTATTGCTCTTGTTAACATTGGGTGTTGAGGGTAAATATTGTAAAAATTGGAAGTAGGAAGGAATGGGTCTATTTGCCTCCCATGAACCCAGGACACAAAGCCACAAGGGGGTTCTGAGCTGGTCCAAGTCTCACTTTGCAGATGAGGAAACCGAGGCAGTGAGGACAAGCAGCTTGTTCTGGGACAGGAACAGCTGAGCTGGCTGATTCCAGGTCTCCACATCAACCTCAGAGCCTTAGTTTTTATATCTGTAAAACAGGCATCATAATAACAGCTAACATTTAGCACTACATATATTAGCTCCTTTGATCCTCACAGCTATGTTGGGAAGTAGATGCTATTCATATCCTCATTTTACAGATGAGGAAACTGAGGCCGAGAGAGGGAAGTGGCTTTGCCCAAGGTCATATAGCTAGTAAGTGTCTGAGACAGGATTTGAACTCAGGGCCTCCTGTATCCAAGGCCAGTCCTCTTAGCCACCTAGAGGCCTAATAATAGTCCTTGTGCTGTCCATCTCACAGGACCCTGGTCTGCTGTGTAAATATGAGCAGATAGCATCATGCATGGATCACCTGTGTGTGTGTGGGGGGGGTCCTAGTCCTTTGACCTTAGTCTACAAGGAGCAGCTGAGATCTCTTTCCTGAGGATCTATAGGCAGCCTCAGAATCTAGGCCTAGATTTGGGGTACTCACTGACCTCTTCTGCATTCTCTTCCCGAACAGAAAACAGAGGCAAAATCACACCAGCACGCTTCAAGAGTTAGCCACGCTACTGCCTATCCCCCTGCAGGCCAGCAGCAAAAAACTCACCAAGGTACAGGGGGAGGGGAAGGGGGAGTGGCTGTGGGAAAGCAGGGGAGACACAGGACAGGGAGCCAGGGGGCCTTAGGAGACAAACTGGCCAATGGGTGGGCCTGGGATTTTAGAGCCTGAAGGGACTTTAGAGATCATTGAAAGGCAAGGGGGCCTGCCCGAGCTCCCATAGGGGCAAATAGTGATTTGAACTCGGGCCCTTTGGCTCTAAATCCTGTATTCTTTGCATTTCACCACTGTGCTGGTGACCACCTGTCAGCCCCTGAGGGTGGACAGCAGGGTGGCTGGGAGAGAAGTGGGAGCCCCCACCGACATTTCTCGTGTGGGAGGCGAGTTTGCTGCCTGGCTCACTGGCTTTCTCCCCTCTCAGCAGGGAGGGCTGAATGGTCATTCCCAGAGCCCGATGGTATGGGGCCAAGTCAGCTAGAAGTGATCCCTGCCCCACCCTGCTGAGTGTGACAGGGTTCAGGAGCCTGAGACTGGAGATCTGGCTGGGCCAGGCCACCCCTCAGGCTGTCGCTTCCTCTCTGAGCCTCCAAATCAGAGACTCGTGCCAAATGATCTTTGAGGTCCCTTCCGGCACTGATTGTGCTCTGTGACAAGGTTGAAGAGGCCAAAGCAGAGAAAACAGGCGAACCTGACAGCAATATTCTAGTATGGGAATATTGGGTGAGCTGGCCCATGCAAGAGGAAGCCTCACCGTTTTGCTCGTTCACAGTCAGTCATCGTACGCTATTGCTATGACTCTGTACGACGTTCTGCTTCGGCTCACTTCATTTTGCATCGGTTTGTAAAAGTCTTCCCAGGTTTTTCTGAAAGCATCCTGCTCATCATGTCTTGGTGCGTGCTGTTGTGATCCTCATTTTTCATTTGAGGAAACTGAGGCAAACAGGTGAAGTGACTTGCCCAGGGTCACACAGCTGCTAATCAGTGTCTAAGGCTGGATTTGAACTTGTCTTCTTGCCTCCAGGCCTGGGGCTCTAGCCATTGTGCCACCTGGCTGCCTCAGGCCTCTTTCATTTGGACTGCTGTCCAGTGATGCTTCCTCCATCTTGTACCCCGTAGTTTAGACATTAATGGAAATTCCCCTTTAGGCAGAGACCTTCCTGGACATTATGTGGGTAAGTTGAAGCTCAACGATACTGAGCTCCAGGGGCCCTGGATAGTCCAGGCCTCTACTGGATAAACACTGACTGACTTAATGACCCGAGTGAGGCCATTCACGGGGGAAGCTCTTTCTGATTCCCGATCCCACACGCACCCTCTGTTTCTTTTGGGCACAGAAGGAGATTCTCCTGCACGTTCTGCACTATATTGAGCACCTCCAACGAAGCATCGATGTGGCCAAGTCTCTTCTCTTATGCCAGCCCTCAGACAAAGAAGGTAACCCCTACGTAATTGGGGCCTGGGGAGGGGATTTTGAGGTGGGGCGTGGTTGGGGAGCATAAGTCGCACAGTGGACTGTGAAAGGCCTGGCCCAGGGAAGGCCTGGATGTGCAGTAGAGCCCAGGCTCAGCGGGGAGTTGGGAACCTGAGACTGAGCTCCAGTCTGCCCTCTCCTTCCCTTTTGGGTGACCAAGCAAGTTGCATCTTCTCCCTGGCCCATTTCTTCTAAATAAGCAGAGACCCGGTTACGTGAAAATCCAGTGAAAGAACAGGATGCTGAGAGCTGGAGAGCAGGAGAGGGAAGGGGACCCCTTGGCCATCCTCAGGTGTCTGAAGGGCTGGCATTCAGAAGGATCAGACCTGTAGAGTTCGCATGTTTGGCAGAACTAGGAAGTCACCAAGAGGAAAATTGTGGCTCAGTCTGAGCAAACACACTTTTGAACAGTTAATTAGACCTGTCCTAGATTGGAATGGGCTGCTGTAGTCGGTGGTGGATTCACCATTGAAGGTCTTCAGATGGGTGCAGGGGGCGCTTAGAGAGGATTCTCATTCAGGTTGGACTACATGACCTCTGAGCTTCCTTCCAACTCCAGCAGGCCAGGAGCCCAAGACAACTAGCTCTGTGCCTCTGGGCAAGGCCCTTTCACTTTCTGAGCCTTAGTTTTCTTAGCTGTGAAATGGGGATAATTGTCAGCCACATCACACTGTTAGCACACCGTTAAGAGAGTGGTCCACCACATCGCCAGGGCTTTTTCATTTGAACTGCTTTCCGGGGGTGTCTCTCTCATCCTGTGCCACACAGTTGATCGTTTTGGGGGAGGGCAGAATTCCTGTCTGGAAACTTTCAGGAAGATGAGACAAAGTTCCCAGGGAGGAAACTTGGTTCCCACTAGGTGAGTGGGGGAATGGATTTTCAAAGTACAAATGTAGGAAGAATTAAGGAGAGAAGAGACCCAGACCTGACCCATTTACGTGTCCCTCTATAGAGCTTGGTGGACATGGGACTGGATGCAGGAAGCCCCCTACATTCGCAGGCAAAGACAAAAGGAAAGAGGCAGCACTTTAAAGCTCCCCTCATGTTTGAAGAGCCTGGTTCCTGGCCTTGCGAGAAGAAACAAGTTGGGAGGTTAGGATAGGGGAGGGAAGGGAAGCACCCAGATGGCCCCCTCCGCCTTCTTGGAGTAGTAGAAAGCTTGGGCTGACTGGGGTGGTGAGGCCGGGCACACTGAGGAACAGACCTCCTCTTGGCCCAGAGCTGGCCGGGTCCCACCGGCTGGCCCTCAGCCACCTGCCCTTCTTGATCCGGGAGCAAACATCTGTAGGGATCCCACTGCTGCTCAGGAGCAATCCTTGCTGCTTGTTGAAAACCCGGCTGCCCCTGGACTCTGGATTCCCTCCCACTACTCCCTACTGATCACCCTGCTCTCTGGCCAAACTGGACTGCTCAGGGCCTCCAGCTGTGCCCATCCCCAGCAGGCCCGCCCCCGGCCCTGCTTGTCTGATTGCTCCTGATCCTTCCAGTGCCCAGCTCAACTGGCACCACCTTTCTAAACTGGGACAGCAGGAAGAACATGGGGTTTGCAATCAGAGGATGCATCCTGGTTCCGCTGCTCGTGCTCTTCGTGACCTTGGGCAAGTCTCCTCTTCCCCATGGCCTTGTGTTTTTTCCTTGTATAATGTATGGGTTGGGCTAAATGGTCTCCAAGGCCTCTTCACCTGTAAATCCTACCATCTTCTCTGAAGACAGAAGATGGGCCATATTGGAAAGAATATTGACTGGCCTTCGACCTGGGTCTGCCTCTTGGCTGAGAACATTAAGGAGCTGAGTGACATTGTGCCAATCCCTTAGTTTGTTGATCTAAACAATGGGGGTAATAATGGTAGTCCTGTGCCTTAAAGAATGGTTGTAAGGAAAGCGCTTCATAAATCTCATGTACTATGGACATGTGAACTGGTACTATGAGGAAGGAGTCCCTTCCTCCTGACCACGAGAGGAGAGAGAAAGCTGGAAGAGATCACTCAGTCCCTAGGCCCCCATTTGATTTGGAACTTGCTTGTAACTGAGGGGGTTTGGTGGAAGCTGGGGACCACATTGGGACAAGCAAGGGACCCCTAGTGCACCAGTGGGACCTTCTGGGCTGTAGGGGGTGTTTAGAAGATGTGGACAGAAATTGCGTGGAATGGGCCTGGGGGCAGGGGCTGCTATCTGTACCTTGGAGGGTGCCTTCTCTTCAGTGAGGTCTCAGAGCCAGTAAAGCCTGGAAGCATCACTCCAGGAACAGAACGCAGAACTGGGAATCAGGTACCTGGGGTTTAGTCAGTGCCTCCCGTGGGCCAGTCTCTGTGCAAGGCACCAGAGATACAAGGACAAAAAAGGAGCCTACATTCTCTCTCAACTCTTTACGTTCTCCTTCTGTGACCTTGGGCAGGTCCCTCAGCTTCTCTCGGCCTTGGTTTCTCCATCTATTAAATGGGTTCTAGATCATCTGTAAGCTCCCTGCCAGGGAGGAAGGGGATGTGGTAGGGTAGGCAGAGGAGGCTACAGAAGATAAGGAGTCGTCAGTCTTTTTGTTTTCTTTTTTACATTGGTAAACTTTTAAAACGATGACCATTTGTTTCATAGACTGATAAATATTAGCTATGGACTAGTGGAAAGTGCTGACTTGGCCCAACTCATTTTATAGGGGCCTCAGTGAGGAGGGGTGAGCAGAATCTGAGGCCCTGAGAGGAGCGAGACTTGCTCAAAGTCAAAGAACTAGTTATTATGAGAAGCCAGGCCAACGCCCTGGTCTCGATATCTGGCCCAGGGCGCTTCCCCTGAAGCACTTAATCTTGCTTTTTAAAAAAAATAAGTTGTTATTGATATTTCTCATTTCTGACAACATCATAGCATCCCATGTATCTGTCCCCTTTCCCTTCCCTGAAAGCCAGCCCATATGACAAATAATATTTTATTGGAGAGGGAAGAAAAAGTCTGAAAACGTGTTCAAATGTGTGGACTTCCCATCTCCATAAAGATTGAGGGTGGCTTCTTGGCTCTCTTTGTGCCAGCTCTACGTGATCTTTACCATTTTGTTACATTTGCTTTTGATTTTTTAGTGTGTGACATTGTTATGGTCATTGTGTGCATTGTTTTCTTGACTCTGATTACTTCCTTCTACATCAGTTCACATAGAGATTTCCAAGCTCTCTGTACTCATCACACACATCATTTCTTTCTTTTTTTTAATCACATTTTTATTAACAGACCATTAGAAAAATAATCATGGTAGGTTCATTCTCCTTTTTTTTTTTTTAAAGGCAATTGGGGTTAAGTGACTTGCCCAGGGTCACACAGCTAGTAAGTGTCAAATGTTTGATCTGAGGCCAGATTTGAACTCAGGTCCTCCTGACTTCAGGGCTGGTACTCTATCCACTTGGTTCATTCTCCTAATAAGCCTATTGATCTGGTTTTCCTGTTACCAGCATCTCCACCTTCCACAAAATGTTTTTTTTTCATTTTTCTTTTTTTTCCCTTCGTTTTGTCCTGTGGAAAAGATCATTTGAAGGGACACAGAAAGTTGTTGGCAGCTTTGAAGTGCTTGCCAATGGTATAGATCTCATAGATCAAGTCCTCTGCAGATAATTCCATATTTACTAAGAGATTTTGCAATAATGGCATCATCAGGGCAATTCTCTGTTTCTTGATCTTGCCATAACCACATTTGTAAATCAAGTCATTCACAGACTTCATGTTTGGGTAACCCCGCACAATATATGGTTCCACAGTCCTCAGCATGTTAAATGAAGCTTTGTTAAGGTTAACAAAAGTGCCATTGAAGATTTGGCAAAGACAAAGAAACTACAATATTCTTTGGACCTTTGCGCTAACACCATTGATCTCTGATTCTGATCACAAAAGCTAACTTCGGTTCAGCAGATGCATAGCAGGTGCCAGCTTTGCATATCATTCTAGCCAGACAGATTTTGCTTCTGTACATCTGTCCTTATGAGAGGCCTTAGCCTTTTCACAGATAACTTTTCTCCATATTTTACAGAGCTTTTTTATAGCCATCTTCTTCTTCAGGTGATTGGCCTTCAGTATCACAAAAGCCTTTTGTTTTTTCAGAAAGGATTCTGGAACGGACGGTCGCTTCCTCTTTTCTTCTCTGCCCTCCATGATTCCAACTGGAAAAAAGCTACACACATCATTTCTTCTAGCAGTCATATTCCATTGCATTCATGGACCACAATGTGTTTAGTCATTCTTCAGTGGCTAAACTTTGGGCATCAACTTGATTTCCAATTCTCAGCTATCCCAAAAAGTATTGCTATCAATATTTTGGAGTACTTATGTGGGGACTTTCTTCTTCATGATAGCTTCCTTGCTGTAAAAGCCCAATAATGGAGTCTTTGGTTCAAAGCGTGTGGACATTTCTTTGCATGATTCCAAATTGCCTTCCAGAATGGTTGTGCCATATCACAGCTTTATCAACTGTGTATTAGGGCACCTTTCTTCTCACACGCCCTCCAACATTAACTGTTGTCATTTTTGGTCATTTTTGCCAATTTGCAGCGTGTGAGGTGAAACCGCAGAGTTGTTTTGATTTGTACTTCTCTCAGTATGAATGATTTTTTTCATGTGGTTGTGAATACTTTGCATTTCTTCTTCTGTGAACTGTTTATATCCTTTGACCATTTTTCTATTGGAGAATGGCCATTAGTCATTTATATATACATATACATATGTGTGTGTGCATGCCAGGGTGTATGTATGTATGTGTTAATTATTTATATATCTTGGATATTAAACCCTTATCAGAGAGATCTGATACAAAGATTTTTTTCCCCTTTGACCACTTCCCTTCTTATGCTAGAGGCATCAATGCCGACTTTGCAGAGGCTTCTCAGTTTTATCTGTTTTATCATCTTTTGGTTGTCTCTGTCTTCTGTTTGGTTAAGAATACATCTCCTAGGGGGCAGCTAGGTGGCACAGTGGATAGAGCACTGGCCCTGGAGTCAGGAGGACCTGAGTTCAAATCCGGCCTCAGACACATAACACTCACTAGCTGTGTGACCCTGGGCAAGTCATTTAACCCCACTGCCTAGCCAAAAAAAAAAAAAGGAATACATCTCCTACCTATAGCTGGGAGAGGTACGTGAACTGTCTCTCTTCTAATTTTTTGATGGGATGGTCTTTAATATTAAGGTCATGTATCCCTTAAGAATGCATTGTGGGGTGGGGTGTAAGAAGCCAGTCTAAACCTAGTTTTTGCCAGACTGCTTTCTCGTTTTCCCAGCAGTTTTTATCCCTTGGTAACCTCTGTTTTCCACTTTATCAAACACTGGGTTATTGAGTTCTGTTGTATCTGAATCCCTTAGTCTCATCCCTTCCACTGATCTATCATTTAGCCAGTATCAGATGGTTTTCATGACTGCTGCTTTAGAATAGAAGCACTTAATCTTTCTATCCCACTTCCAATTCATTTTTCACCCCAATGCCCAAATTGTTTTCCTGGTGCACTGCTCTGATTCCAGCACTTCTTTGTTCAAAAATCTTCAGAAGCCCCCTGCTTAGTGGATGAAGTCTAAACTCCTGACCCTGACATTCAAGGCCCACCATCCTCGCCTCACACCATTCCCGGTTCTGGCCAGACTGGTCTGCTTTTCTCCCTGCTTCCTTGTCCTGTCTCCTAGCTGTGTCTCTGTTTATGCCGTTCCTCACTCAGAGGACATCCCCCCTTCCTACCTTTGCCTGTCTGAAGGCTCATCTCAGACCAACATCTTCCTTTGAGCCTTTCCTGGCCCAGCTAGATGAAAGAGGGCTCCTTTCCTTCACCACCCCTAACTTTCTCTTGGCCTTGTCACATTCCACCTGTGTCCTGCAACCCCATTAGACTGTATGTAGTATGAAGGCAGACTTTCTCTCTCTGCACAGTGCCTCCTACCATAACCAGAACTTGGTAACAACAACAGCAACGTTTACAGAGCGCTTGAAGGCTTGAAAAGCTCTTTACAAATATCAACTCATTTGATACAACAATCCTGGGAGGTAGGTGTTATTGTTATACCCATTTTACAGAAGAGGAAACTAAGGCAACTCTAGCCCGTAAGTAACTTGCCTGGGGCCACATAGCTGGTGAGCTTCTTATCAGTCTCTCCACTGCATCACTTAGCTCTTCTCAGAGGATATGTATTGCTTGAACCCAGAAGGGAGTGTTTTTGGTTTTGTATTCCTCTCCAACCGCAGTCACTTTGGTTTCTCAGAACGAAGGGCAGTGGCCGCAGATCCTCATCCATGCCTGGCCCCGGGCAGAGGCCCCTCCCAGCCAGGGAGGCAGCCTGCCGACCAATCGACACCAAGCAGAAGCGGAGGAGACGCTGCGGGGGGAGCCGCTCTCCCCAGAAGACTCCCCACCCCCTGCGGACACCTGGAGTCCTGGTCGCCCCCGGCCCATGGAGGAGCTGGGCTCACACTTCTGGAGATGGCTGAAGGCGGGGTTCAGTTCTGCTTAGCAAGTTGGTTCCTCAGCCTCACCCTCCGCTCTGTTTCCCCTCACTCCACTCTGAACCTTCAGCCCTTGGTGCTAAGCATATAGGGGGAGGGAGGATGAGGGCCCATCCTCAGGGGAGGCATGAGATTCAGAGATGCTTGCTGGGAAGGGAGGGCTGACATCACAAGGCTGGTGGGGTCTTCTTTCCTTTCCTGGCCCTGTCTGCAAAGGGAGCCAAGCAGAGCTGTCCCCTGCCTCCCCTGCTCCATCCTGTTGTGGAGAAGCCAGTGCCCAGGAAGAGCGCCCCTACCCCACCTGCCAGGCCCAGATGACAGCAGGTGGTGGGTGGCTGACACCTCCCCCCTGGAGTGAGCCTCTGCCCAGGTAAGGCCCTCCCTGCGCTCACCTCCACCAAGAGCCCTGGCCTCGAAGGCCTCCCAACTAGAGGCCCATCACTGGACCCTCGGAGCCCAACTATGAGTCATGTTGTGTGGGCGTTCCTAACTTCCTGGCTCAGGGGCTCATGGAATAGCAGAGGCAGAAGTCGCCTGGCTGAGGATGATAAAGGCAGTAGGCCTTCCTCTGGGGACATGGCTGGCATCCTCTACCTCCTTTTGCAGAGAAGTAAACTGATGCCCAGGGCAGGGAAGAGGCCTGTCCAGGGTCACAGAGCCACCTGAAGGTTTAGGGATGTGAATTGTTACTGTTTTTTCCTACTCTTCCTGTACTAATCTTTACCTGGGGTTATTTGCTGGAGAGAGGAAAGCCAAGGAACTCCTGCTAATGACTCAGGTTGCTCAGGCTACGGAGCAGTCAGGAACTCTGAGGAGGGTGGAAGGAGGCCTTGACTTTTCCCTCCAAGCCCTTCATTCCCGTGGGCTCAATGGGAAGGGAGCTTGGAGACTCAGAAGAGCCCCAGTGCATTTAAGGGCTGGTGTTAGAGGGGAGGCCCCTGACAGATGGCACAGGAGGACCTCCACTGATGGGCAGTTCCCTGCTGAGGGCCTTGAAGATAGACCCATTCCTACTGCTTGTATGGCAGGTGGCCAGGCCGTCATCTGGGTGACCATCCTAGTCACCCTCATCCGGATGCTCCAGCTTGTCAGGGCCTGCTCAGACCTAAAGAACAAAAGTGGCGTGCTCAGGACAGAAGACAGAGCACTGATTAAGCACCTGCTGTGGGCTATGCTAAGCACTTTGATCCCCACAGCAACTCTGGGAGAGAGGTGTTATTATCATCCTTGTTTTATGGCTGGGAGAACTGAGACACACAGAGAGGGGAAGTGACTTGCCCAACGTTACATAGCTGTGAAGTGTCAGAGGCCGGATTTGAACTTTGGTCTTCCTGATTCCAAGCCCCGTCCTCTGTGCCAAGCATTGCCAGCTACCTCAGCTAGAGAAGGAAGATTATTCAATCAGTCATGGCTCCTGACTTCAGTGAGCTTACAGTCTATTAGGAGAAATAAGGCAATGACCATAGGAAAGGACAGACTCTGATCGGTGCAGGAGAGCAGCTGGCCTCAGTGTCTTCGTCTGAGGGCATCAGGGAAGGCTTCCAAAGGAGGCAGCATTTGGCAGGTGGCTCGGACGACCCGAAGGAGGGGATGTTGCTGGGATCTGAATAACTGAAGCCAAGGATCCCTCACCGGAGGGCTGAAATGCATGTTTATGGGACATTTGGCTCCAAATATCAGCCGATAGGACTGGGGGAGGGGGGGCCGGGCAAGCAAATATCCTTATGCAGAGAACTGGGGGTCTTGTGGGGTACAGTGTGGTCGCCAATGAAATCAGTGCCATCGTTTTTTCATTTTCCACTGGACTTGTGATTTTATTTCTGTGCGTAGGGAGCTTGCGCAGCCAAGGTAAGTCAGCTCCAGCTCAGAATTATAGTCCGTGAGGACTGAGGGAGAGTATGGCATGCTGGATAGAGGGCTGCTCTCAGAAGCAGAAGACCTGGGTTTAAGTCTCATCTCTGACCCACACTGGCTCCATGACCCTGGGCAAGTCACTTCGCTTCCAGATGTCCCCACATAGGTCTGTAAAATACAGTCTTAGGTCCTACTAATAAGAGCAAAACATCGAGGCTGAGGAGAGGCATGGCCCTGCAGCCCTCCGCCTTGGCAGATCACTTCTGGCTACCACATGTTAGGAAGGCCAGTGAGAAGAATAAAATAACAAATAAGGACAAAGTTCCAAGGAAGGCGGCCAGGATGGCCAGGGGCCCTCCAAACTATGCCATTGAAAGGTCTCCTGAAGGCTCACGTGATGCTTGTCCTTGGAGAGACAGGAGAATTGTCACCTCGGATTTGAAGGGCAGTCATGGAAGGATTAAACTTGTTCTGCTGGGCCTCAGAGGCCAGAATCTGGACCAGGGAAGAGGAGGAACAGGAAGAGGGAGGGTGATTGTGGCAGCCCCCTCTGGGGAGCAGGAGACTTCCTGGGCTTCTTGGGGTTCCCGTCAGGCCTGCCCTCTGACTCCACCTCCAGTTCACCCTCCACATGCATGGTCGTTTGCATGTTGTCTCCTCCTTAAAGCACGAGCTCCCTGAGGGCAAGGGAAGGTTTTTGCCTTTCTTTGTATCCCCAGCCCTTAGCACAGTCCTGGCACACAGTAGGCACCTATTAAATGCTTGACTGGCATTCTGTGGTTGTGAACCAATGGGCTTAGCTGGCCTGGAGATGAGTGAGAGGCAGACAAAGAGGTGGGGTGGAGCCAGACCACCTAGGGCTCTGGATGAGAGGCAGAGGCTGCGGCCACATTCCCCTCCTGGAGCAAGGTCCCTGGAAGGCTGTGGGCCTAGAACTATGATGGCATGTTCCTAGATAGGCCAGAACTGGCTGGGGCTGGGGGCTGTTACTTGGGGTCCTTTCCAGTTCTGTGCAAACTCAGGGAAATTACTTTCTTTGTACCTTCGTCTCCTCTGTGAGGTGAAGGACTGGATTAAAAGGTTCTCTCAAATCTCTGATTCTTCTTCTTGCATCCTTCTGTCTCGCAGGCAGAAGCTGGTGTTCTATGACTCCTGTGAGGAGGAGGAGGAGGCGGCAGTGGACACAGGGCCTTGGCTCTCAGCCTGGTCCCCCGACAGCAGCCCCCACTGTGAGTGAGGCAGGCGGATACAGCCTCTTTGGCTTCCCTTCTGTCTGAGCCTGGGCCCTAGAGCTTGGGAGAAGCTGTGGTTTGGGCTGAGACCATACAGTCCAGCCAAGCCAAGACGGTGAGGACCTGGGCTGATCGTGCTTTGGACCTCAATCCAGCCCCTGGTGGGACAAAATCTGAAATGGCCCAGACCGAATTTAAGCTGGGGATCTGGAGGATCCTGACAGATGATGGGGCATCCTTGCTGGAAGGGGCCTTAGCACATATGTGGGAGATCTAGGATGGTGGAACCTTAGGAAACCACTTCGTCCAACGCCATCGCCATACAAACAGGGAGACTGAGGCCTGGAGAGGGGGGTCAGCTGCTGAGCCCTGACCAGCTGAATCCCAGTCTTGTTCATGGCTGCATGCACTGGCCTAAGCCTTTCTTGGAGCTCAGAGGCAGCCACTTCCCAAAGTCCTCACTGCAGAGCGCTCCTGGGTAGGAGAGAGAGTCTCTTCTGGGTACCTGTCATCCTTATCTGGGCTCGGTCCAACTTGGAGTCTGTTGATAGAAGAGTAACTCGTGTAGCTCAGGCTCACCTGTCTGCTTTCCAGGGAGCCCCGTGGTGAATACTCCTAGGCCTAGCAGCTGGCCTGGAGTTGGCCAGCCAAGTGAGGTGCTTGGCCTGAGCCCCTCGCTCTTTACCTCTCCGGGGCGACTGTTGTCTGGGAAGCTTCTTCAGGAAGGCACAGAGAGCTTCACCCAAGGTGACATCACAGCACTGACATGCCACGGGGTGGGGGCTGGGAGACCTTTGGAGGGGGCCCTCCTCACCCCTCTGCCTCCTTTACACACAGCTCTCTTTGAAGATGTCTGCCTGAGTCCTCAGTCCTCTTCCTCCTCTGCCAGCCTGGTTGGGGCTCCACAGAAGAAGGTGGCTGGCTTTGAGGCCTCTCCCTGCTCCATCCCCATTCCTATGCCTCTGTCCTTTCACTTCCTAACAACCCCCTTCTCTAGTAAAAAAAGAAGCCCCAGCCCCACTTTTATGCCTCAGGGAGAGGCTGGAGCCCCGAGGTGTTGGAAGGGAGGATGGAGACAGGCAGTCTGTGTCGGGGAGTCATTGGGTTGAGTTGGCAGCTTCTCTGTTGGGGGAGGATGCCTGGAGGCCAAGGGGCCTTGGAAGGAGTGAGCCGCAGGAGAGGTCCCAGAGCAGGGCGAGGGGGCTGCTGCAGAGGCAGGAGGCCCATAACTTAAAGCAGGCCTGGCCCAAGTTCTCATGCCATTCCTGGTCTCCTGCCCAGCCCCAGGACCCAGCCCCATCAGCCCCTGGAGGCCCTCTCCACTCCCTCAACTTCTTCCAGTCAGCATTCTCCCTAGACCACTGTTACCTCTCGCTGAGTGAGACCAGCAAGATTGACTCCAGCCCCAGCTCAGGGGCGACAGAACTGGTGTCCCTGTGGAACAGACGGCAGGAGGTGAGATCATGTCTTCTGCCTTGGTCAGAGGCCAGCTGGCCCCAAAGCAGTGGCACTTTCGAGGGGGTTGGCCACCTGGAGCTGACCAGAGGTGGGTGGCAAGAGGCCTGAAAAATCAGCCTGGAAAAGGGAAGACCTAGCAGAGGGAAGGCGCTGTCCTGAAATCTGTGCATGAGAGGGATGAATTATAGTAACACCTCACCTTCGTCTAGCACCTGCTCTGTGCCAGGCACGGGCTAAGCACTTCACCCAGGGAGGGAAAGAGAGAGGTGCTGTTATTATCCCCATTTTACAGATGAGGAAACTGGGCTGCTTGGCCTCAGAGGGCGGCTCTCTGGGAAAGTCGAGGACAAGTTGATTTTGTCTCAGGGAGAACTTGATTATAGTCACAGAACGGGAAGAACTCTGCAGAGCATCTCTTCCAGTAACCTAGTTTTTCAGAGGAGGAAACTGAGGCTCAGAGAGGGGCTGGGCCTTAGCTTGGGCCTCATGGCTAGTAAGCAGCCGAGCTAGTGCTTGAACCCAGCCCAGTGACCTTTCTGCGTGTTGGCAGGGTCCAAGCAGAGATTTCTGCACTGGGCTGGAGGCTGGCTGAGATGACCTTGGAGTCATCTGCCTCCTGGGACTGGGATGCTCTAAAAAGTGGGTAGGCCAGGGTCAAGACTAAGCCCTCTCCTCCTGCCCCAGGCCTCCCAGTCCACCCCAGATGGCTTCCTGTCCTCCAGCGACGAGGATGGCGACCGTACCTGGACCCCCACCAAGCATGCCTCTCCTCTGCCTGCCTCTGGGAAGAAGCGGAGGAGGGGCCGGGCAGGGCCCAGTGGCAGCAGCCTTGGCAAATACAAGGAGAGCAAGAAGACACACCGTCCTTTCCAGCTGAAGAAGAAATGTGTCAACGGCTTCATCATGTTCTGTCGCCTCAACCGCAAACATTACATTCGGTGGGTTTGCGACCCAGCCTGATCTCTGGCTTTCCTGGGTCTTCACGGGGCCCCTTCCCTGAGCCCTCCATCACAGCCTACACTGGGCCAACCCTGCCCCTCCCGCCTGTCTGAGCTCGGTGCCTACCAAGGGAGGCAGGCCTTCCTGGGCTGTGTCATCTCAAATTCTTAAACTAACCTGGTCAGGAGGTGACTTAATGGTGGACAATAGCTCCCAGCTTTCCTTCTCTGAGGGAATATCTGTGTATCAGTAGTAGCCTTCAGTGCCCTAACTCTGTGGAAGGATTAAAGGTGAGACTTCGGGCCTGGGGCTGAGGGAAGCTTTCTGGGCCACTTGGGAAGGAGAGGTGGGGGTTAGGGTGTTAAGTCCCCCCCAAGCCCTATATCGAGTTCATCCCTGATCAGAAAACCTCTTTGCTTCCTTCTCTGGATTGCTGGTGGTAGAGGGGATACTGGAGAAGATCCTGACCACTTACGGACTCAGAACAAGGAAGACCCTTTAGATCTTTTAAACCAGGAACGTCAGGGGAGGGAGAGGACTTAGAACAGCGAATGTCGGGGCCGAGAGGGCCCCTAGAACAGAGAACGTCAGAACTGGGGACAGTGACTTAGAACAGGGAATAAGAGTGTGAAAATGCCCCCTCCCCAAAGGAGAAGGGGTCTTACCCAAGTCCACCAGAGCAGAACTAGCCCCCTGGTCCTGAGGCTCCCCGGGCCAGGCTCTTCCTCCCCTCCTCCCCCCGGGTTTCCTCACCCCATCCTCCTCTTCCTCTCAGAGCCTGCCCGGGCACGGCATCCACTGTGGCTACCAAGGCACTGGCACACCTGTGGCGGGTCATGACCAAGCAAGAGAGGAGGCCGTACTGGTAAGAGGGTGAGGGAGGCTGCTCCGGGGGGACCGTTGGTCACCAAACTAAAGGACTCAATACTGGCCCTTCCCACCGAGTCCTGAAGGAGTGACTCACCCAAGTGATAGCCAGAAGTTAGCTACGGGAGAAGTCCCCTAAGAGATCAGCCAGGCCTTGCAATGGGGGATGAAGCATCCAGGGGCCCCATGCCCAGCCTTGGCCAAACCGCCCTGATGCCTCTCACACCCGAGGCTTGGGGTGGGGGGCAGCAGGTGCGAGCGCCCCTCGGTGATGCCCTCCCCCAGCATCAAGGCCCGCAAGTTCAGCCGCCAGCACAACCGCGTCGTCAGGCAGGACTGTTCCAGCGAGGACGATGACCGCTTGTCCCCCAAGCCCTTCCACCTGCTTCTGGCTGAGAAGGCCCTGTGCTTCCCAGGCCTGGTGTGCACAAGCTCCCCTCTGGGGGACCCTCTCCCTGACAGCCCAGCATCTCTGTGAAGCAGGGGCTGCCCCTTCTTTGACCTCAGGGTGGCCAGTGGGGGAGGGGCCTGGCCCCCATCACCCCCTCTGCTGGGGATTTGTTGGCCTCTGAGCATGTACGTGCAGGGGCTAAGAGGCTAGTCTGCACCCCTATTTATCCTGTAGGAAGGGGGGTACCTGGGGAGACCCCAGGCCAGAGGGCGACAAACTCACGCTCCCGCTTTCCTCAGCTTTGGGTTAGGATCAAATATTTGAAACCCAATTGTCCTCTCACTCCACCCCACCCCCCCAACTGTTATATTTATAGATTATTTATTGTTCTAAAAATAAAATCATACTTGTTCTTGAACTTTCCCTGCAGAATGCTGGGTTGTAATACTGTCCTGGCACGGAAACAGAAGCTGCCCCTGATCCTGGGACACGCACAGGGGTGATGAGGGGCGGGGCAAACTGTTTCTGGCTTCTCCAAATCGTCCCCCCTTCCCCAGCAGTCTTGCTTGGTGGTCAGACCACAAACCCCACGTTCCTTCCCTCCCTGTGACTTCCCTCCCAGAAGGAAGCGAAAGCTCAGTTGGGGTTGAAAAAGGGCATCAGGAAAGGGTGCTGACTTGCCCCCACGCCCCCAGGATCAGAGGCCCCCCCTGCATTTCTGGGTCTGGTTTATTGAAATTGAGGCAGTAACATGTCCTAGAAAAATATAAAGATTTGGGAAGGTACAAACCAAGGTCAGGAAGGTTACCCCCTCTTGGGAGGAAAGATCTTTGGTCTGGGGTTAAGGAGGGATTGTGGGGCCCTCACTGCCACCACCCAGACACTGTTGGCTACTTGGGAGACACGTGCACATGTTGGTAGGGCCCTAGGCCGTCTCACACTTGCCCACACCCTCTTCTGGGACCTCTCAAATTAACAGCCATTTGCAGGTCAGGGCAGGGTGTTCAGGAGGGGTAGGCCCAAGGACCGTAGTGTTTTTCCACAGACAATTCACAGCCAGTACCGGATTTGACAGGGATGGGTGTGCAGCCACCCCTCAGTCCCCCCAAGAATGGCTCCAGGCAGGTGGGGGGGGCATATACAGGAAGGTAGGGGCTGTAACAAGCTGAAGCCTCCACTTCCAGGAGAATTGAGGGCCCCCCAGAAGGAGACGGGCCGGGGGGGGGCCTCTGACCCCAAGGAGATGGGGTGAATTAGTGTTATGATTTGGAAGACAGTAGCATTTGTGGTAGACACAGGACCCCTGATTCCCCTTTGGCCCCTTGAAGAAGGAAGGACGCTGCAGTCTTCAGAGCACCTCATTTGGAGAGTGAAGTAAGGGAGAAGAACACAGAGGTATGGATCCGCTCACAGCTCCAGTGGCTCCTCCACAGGCACTGACTGCAGCTGGGTCAAGACCTTGTCCTCGGGCTCCAGTTCATCCCCCTCCTCAGCCCCCGTGTCCCCCAACAGGAGGCTGTCCCCATCAGGCAGCCTCAGGAGGGCATGGGGGGTGGGCGTTCCTAGCCCCTTCTCCATCTCAAAGAGCCCCTCAGTCCCCACCCCCAACTCCAGCCCCCCAGGCCAAGAAGGGACAGCAGGGATGGGGACGCTGGTTAGGAGGCCAGAGGAGTCCGGGGAGAAGGCCGGGCCAGCTGCCCCTAGGGCCCCAGGCGCCTGGGCCTGGGCCGAGAAGGAGGGGAGGGCTGGGCCAGGGGCCACCGTAGCCAGGACCGGTCCCTCGGCCACAGGAGCCGGGGCTTCCTGTTTGATGGGCAGCGCCAGGCTGGCGGCAGTGGGCGGCAGGGTCTGGGAGACCAGCATGCTGGCTGGGAAGGTTGCAGTCAGGATGATCTTGCCCTGCTGAAGCGTCATCCCTGTCACAATAGGGCTGCTGGAAACCGGGTTTGCCAAGAGGAAGTTACCTGTCAGGGAAGGGGGGATGGGATGAGATGGTGGCCACCTGAGCTTGACGCCTGTCACTGGGCTTTACCAACTGGCCACCCAGCAGCCAACCTCTTCCACTCTGGGCCCGCTTCCTCCTCTGCTAGGGGGATCACTTCTGCCTCCGTGGGGCTACAGTGACATAAACGCCTTCATCTGACAGGAGAAGCTGAGGCCCAGGCCTTCCTCCAGGTCACATCGCGTCAGACTGCCCGGACAGTCCCAGACCAGGGCCCCCGACTCCCAGGCCAAGAATTAGGAGAGAGATGAGAAAACAGGAAGGTGGTCCCGTTTATGCCTTAGAGCTAGAAGGAGCTTTTTCAAGATCACTGAATCCAATTCATGACACCAAAGGAAAGATGGAAGGCCCAGAGGGGGAAGGAACTTGGCTCCGGTCACATGGGGGGAAGGGGGCAGGGCAAGATTCTGGGCTCTTTCCACTGAATCGAGAGACAGGAGGGCAGCAGTGAAGAGAGGTAAGAGGGTGACCAAGGTTACTCTCCCCACCCCCAAGCCTTCCCAGGTTCCCTTCCCTTCCCCTCACCCTCCTCAGATCACAGGTTTGGGACTGGGAAGGGCCCCATGAAATTATTTAGTTTGGAAATGACAAAGTAGCCCAGAGAGAAAAGTGAACTTTCCCCAGTTCACACAGGTAAGAAAACAACAAAAGGGGTATTCAGGCACAGGGGCTATGGGTGCTCCCACCCAGAGGAGCCTGAGGAAGGGGAAAAGAGGTTTACCTGGGGCAGCTGTAGGTAACTGCAAAGCTGTGACCCCCATTCCTGGGTTGATGAGGTGAACATTGGCCTGGCCCAGGGTGGCTCCTGTTGCTGCCGCCACCTTGACAGGGCTAGCAGGCCCAGCCAACAGCTGTAGGGACCCCACGCCTTGGGGCAGGGTCACCACCTGGGATGTGGGCACCACTTGGGGAAGGGAGACCAAGGGTGAGGCCCCAGGGTAAACAGGGCCTGATGGAGATAGGGGGACCACCTGGGGGGCTGGCACGGGAGCTACGGGACCAGGGGGTGACAGTGGTACCACCTGAGGCCCCGGCCCAGCAGGCGTCACCACGGCAGGAGGAGGGAAGGCTGCTGCTGGCTGGGGGCCTGGGACCACTTGGGAGAGGGACAGCCCCTGCAGCGGCAGGGCTTCCTCCCCAGATGCCTGGTTCCCTTTGGAGCCCCCGTCTTCAGGCTGGGCATCTTCAGCCTTCGAGTCTCCAGGCTGGGGAACTTGGAGCAGGGAGGAGAGCGGAGCCTGGGCCTGTGGGCTGGAGGGTGGTGGGCCCCCTCCTCCAGCAGCCCCAGTGAGCAAGAGTGGAGCCAGGCCTGGGGCCTCCCCCAGGGCCAGCCCATTAATGATGAGAGAGCCTCCGTTAAGCAGCACAGCCGGGGAGCTGGCCGTGGTCAAGAAGCCCCCGTTGAGCAGTATAGACGGGGCACTCGGGGGTCCCGATGGAGCTGCTGCCCCAGCCAGGAACACAGAACCTGGAGCTGGCACGTCTGTGCTCCCTGGGGCCACTCCTGCTCCAGCCTCCACATCCTCGGCTCCGTGACTGGACTCATCTTCTGTACTGGGGTTCCCATCTGACTCACTGCCAAGAGAAAAGAGAGGCAGAAAGCTGAGTTTTCTGCGGATTTGGTAGGAGGCCCAGAAGGTCTTTGTCCCGAAGTCCCTAAAGGCTTATGGGGGACAGCTGGGAGTTGCAAAAGGCACTCTCTCTGAATCTGAGATGCCTCAAGTGTAACATGGTGGTGAGGTGGGGACAGACCCCAGGGCCCTGCACCCAGGGTGACTGGATCTCGATGGCAGCACAGCTGGGGAGTTCCACGTGGACTCTGGGTGGGAGGGGAGCTACTCGGCTTACGGGAAGGAAGGGTCACATTTCACAACAAAACAGGAGGCCCAAGCATGCTGCCTCTGGCCAGTCCTGCCCCCTCCTCCCTCGATCCCTCCCCGGCTCGGCAGGGCAGCGAAGGGGGCACTGCATCAGTCCTGGGGTCGAAGGGAAGACCGCCGGGGGGGGGGCGTGCCCAGCCTTCCCCCTCTCCGAGGAACAGTGAAGAGACCCCGAAGAGTTGGGGGGGGGGGTCTGGAAGGCAGCACGGGGAGGGGGAGGCCGCGCATCAGTCAGTCCGGACTGCCGGAGGAGGCGTGCCCAGCCTTCCCCCGGGGGTCTCACCTCCTGCTGGGCGCCCCAGCCGCCGCGGCAGCTGCCGCTGAAGCCCCGCTGCCGCCCGAGCCCGGGCCGCCCGTCCGGTCGCGCTGCCGTCGGTTCTTGAACCAGTTGCTGACCTGTGTAAGCGAGAGGCCGGTGAGCGCGGCGAGGCGGCGCTTCTCGTCGGGCGCGGGGTAGCGGTTGCCACGGTAGCAGGCCTTGAGCGCGGCCCGCGAGCGCTCCTTGAAGCAGTACACTGTCTCCTCGCCGTCCCAGATGGTCTTGGGCAGCGGGAACTTCTTGCGCAGCCGGTACTTGTCCACGGCGCCCAGCGCGCGGCCCCGGGCGCGCTCGGCCTCACGGTAGCGGGCGCGCAAGTAGAGATCCTGCAGGAAGGCGTGGTGCGCCGCGGGGAAGGGCCGGCTCTCCAGCAGCCGGTAGAGCTCGGCGAAGTCCCCGCGCTGGAAGGCCACGAGCGCCCGGGCGCGCAGCAGCGCGTCGCTGCCGCCACGTAGGCGCTCGGCGGGCGGCAGCGCGCCCAGAAAGCGGCCCAGGCGGCCCGCGTGGCCCGCCTGCAGCAGGGCCTCGCACACGCACGACACCTGCTCGGCCGAGAAGCGCAACCCGCCGCCGGGCGCGGGGCCGGGGGCGCCGCCCGGGCCCGGCGCCGGGGCGGCCGCGGCGGGGGGCGGCGGCTCCAGCCCGAGCGGCGGGGCCCCCGCGCCCTCCCCGGCCGCCGCCGCCTCACCCTCGGCCGCCTGCAGGGTCTGCAGCAGCCGCCGCGCCGTCTGCTCGTCCGCCTCGCCCTCGCCCTCGTCCTCCTCCTCCTCCTCCTCCTCCTCCTCGTCCGCGGCCCCAGCCGCCGCCGCCTCCCCGCTCGCCGGGCCCGCGCTCGGCTCCGCAGGGAAGGTAGCCATGTTTTGCAACTTTGGGAAGTTCCTCCCCCTTTCCTTCCCTCCCTCGGGCTTCCCCCGGCCCCCTCCCCTTCCAGCCCCTGTCCCCCCCTTCCAGCCCCTGTCCCCCCCTCCCGGCCCAGCGCGGGGCCCCGCCTCCCCTCCCCTCCCATCCCGAGCCACCTCCTTCCGCCCGCGGCACCGCCCCCTGCCCTTGGCATCCCCTCCTCCCAGGGGGTGTCTCCCGGAGACCCGCCGGCACGCCCCCGGCGCCCTCCCGGTCTAGCTTCCTCGCGTCCTCGCGCTTCGCCCGGGACGCGGCTCCTCCACCCCCTCCATCCAGGCGGGCGGGGCGGGGCGGGGCGGGGCTCTGGGCCTGGTCAGCTTCTTCCCTGGGGCCCCAGCCCCGCCCTCTCCCGCCCCTGCCCTAGTCGCTGGCCCCGCCCCCTCCGTTCCCTTCCCTTCTTCCTACCCAGGAAAAACTTGGGGGAAGAAAGTTTTCTGTAACTTTGGGAGCGCGGCGGTGCCTGCGCGGGGCGACTTCCGCCCTTAACCCGTTTCTCTCCGGGATCCCAGTCCAGTCTGCGAAGGCCCCCCCCACGCCCCCGGGGGGCCGTAGCAGCAGGCTGGACCCCTGCGGGCTCCCAGCCCCCCCTTCCCGGCTGAGACCTAGGCCCCGCCCGCCCTAGGACCCGCACTGCCCACTCAGACTCCTCGTGGGGTGGCGGGTGGGTGCAAGAACCAGGCCTGAGCCAAGGAGACCAAGAGGCTTTTATTGGGCGACAATAAATACCGGGGGGGGGGTCGGGCTCTCAGTGCATAAATAGAGAAGGGGTTGGGCACGGGACAACTCAGCCACCGCCACTCGGGGAACCCCGGCGTCCGGCTGGTGCAGAGGGCTGGGAAGTGGGTTTCAATAAATATCAAGCCGGGCAGCGAGTGGTGAGGGAGGCAGAGGAGGCCCGGGGCGCGCGTGGTGCGTGGAGGCGTGGGGGGCGGGGTCCCTGAAGTGAGGGCCAGTGTTTGGTCTGGGAGGGGGCAGCCCAGTGGGCGGCGCGGTCCTCCTCCCCCCCCCCCTTGATTCCCTCTCCTGACGCCGCCGGAGCCCCTGGGGACGGGTCCGGATCACGGGGATGGGGTCGCGCGCTACGTCCAGGGTAGGCGAGGATGGACTGCGCGCTGGGACCGCGGCTTCCCCTCCCGGGACGCCTGGGTTCATCGGGGACAAATCTAGGGCTCAGGGGCCGGGGGCGGTTCTGGGGCTGAGGCGAGCCGGCCAGGGGAAGCCCCAGCCGGGGCTGGGGCCAGGGCCAGAGCCGGGGTCGGGGTCAGCACAGGCCCCCAGCCCAGGGCGGCCCAGCGCTGTGGCAGAAGCCAGAGCAGCGGCGACGACGAGCAGCTGGCGCGTCTCCGATAGGCCTGGCTTACGGACCTGTGGGAAGACCGGGCCGAGGGTCAGGGGCGCGGTCTGATTGGTCTTTCTAGGCGGTCTGAGAGGAGCCCATTGGTCGCGACACCATCCCCCTACCCGGTCCCAGGCACAACCTTTCCCATCCCCATCCTCATTGGTCCCCTCGGCGTCCATACGTCCTGATTGGTCTGCCCTTCCATCCGCCCCTTCCCCAGTGGTCAGAGCCGGCAGAGAAGGAGCGAAGCAGAGGGGCCAGGCAGCAAGGGGGGGGGGGGTGAGCAGCCGGAGGGACGTACCCGGGCACAGGGCAGCAGGTGGCAGGGCACCACCAAGGGGTACTGGCACAGAGCCACGGCCGGGGGGCCATCTGGCTGGAGAAAGAAGGGACAGGTGACCAGATCGGAGACCCTCCAGGTCCCTCCCCAAGGCCACCCCTAGAGGGATCGCAGGAGAGATGTATTGGGCATTCCGAGGGCAGGTGAGGTGGAAAGAGGCCCTAGGGGATCTGGAGGGGGTCCCGGAAGCAGGCAGGGGAGTCTTACATGGGGAGGCAGCTCCGTGGCCTGGGGAAGGGGGAGCCCCGAGTTGGCTGGAAGAAGAAGAGAAAGGAAGTGGGGACGAGCAGTGGGCAGGCAGAGAGAGAGAGAGAGAGAGAGAGATCAGGACAGAGAGAGGACAGCAGCCTCGTGGCCTGGGCAGTCTGCTTCGTGTGCTGGCAGCCTCCAGCCCCCTGCTATCCCCATTGTGTCCCTAGGGTTCCTCCGGTTCTCTCTCCAGCCCTGCCCAGCACAGGGGGTGGGAACCCCTGGGGGGGGCGGAACTGGACTTGCCTGATGCTTGCAATTCCTCCATCCGCTCTCGAAGCTGCTGTATCTGAGCCTCTAGCTCCCCATTCCGGCTCTCTGCGGCCTGGAGCTGGCTAGGGGCAGAGTTGGAGAATGGTCACACCTGGGGTCCCAACCCCCTTCACTATGGGGCCAAACTTGGGAGAATAGGTCCACGTGGGCCATCAGTACTGCCTTGGCTCTTGAAATAGGACCCTAGTGGTTGTGTTCCTAGCATCCTGACAGTGTCCTGACCTAGGATGGAGAACTGGGACAGACCCCAGAAACCATCTAGTCCAATTTCCCAAATTTACAAAAAGGGGAAACTGAGGCCCAGGGCCAGGAAGGGACCTGCCCAAAGTCCCAGAAGTCTTGGTCATGACATGGCTTCATATCATGACAGAATAACTTACCTCCCTCCCTCCCTCAGCAAAAATATGATTCCAGCCAGGGTTTCACTGACCTGGCAAAGTTCTGGTTGGCTAAGCGGATGGCGTCCAGCTCTCTTCGAAGGCTCTGCTGGTTCAACATCTCTTCCTCCAGGGCAGCTTGGAGCTCTTGCAAGGTGAACCCCTCTTCTTCCTCCTTCTCTAGGCTTAGTGTGGCCTCCTCAGCCTGAGTCTGGGGGACCTTAAAATTTAGAGTGGTAAAGGACTTACCCAAGCCCATATAACTAGGAACTAGAATTCAAACCAGGGTCTTGTGACTTCAAAGTGCTCCTTCCATTAAGCTGAGTAGTGGCTCCCACCCTCTGCCAAGAGGGCCTTCTCATGATTGCTTTCTCTTTTCCAGCCCATTCTAGGTCCACAGCCCCCTCCTCCAGAAGCCTTCCTGGACTGACCCTCCAATCATACCCCTATCACTCACAGGCTCTTCGGGGGTGGCCAGCTCGGGTGGGGTAGGAACTGTGGGCTCAGGCTCCAGCTCCATAGGGGCAGAGTGACTGAACTCCTGGGCCTCACTTTCACTGTGGGAAGAGCATTTGTGCATTCCAAGGCTGCCCTGCCCTCCCCCAACCTCTTTGAGAAAGAGGGCCCTTCTGGAGAGGGGTAAGGGTAGTAGTAAGAGGGGTAATCCCACTTTCCCTCAGGATTCCCTTTCTCAGCAAGCAGGTGCTAGGCTCTGGGGCCACAGACATGTGCGTGCACACATACTGGTACTGATAACAACTGAACCTCGATTTCCCTGCTTTAGGGAACTCTACCAATGCAGGTCAGCATCTTCTTCAACTGACAGACTTAGAGCATGGCCTGGGACACTGAGAGGTTAAGTGTAAAGCCCAGGGTCATACAGCCAGGATAGGCTCTTCCCCAGTGAATCCATCCATAGATAGACAAGGTGTTCCAAAACCCTTCATGTCATTTTTCAGATTGTTTGTTTTTAACTTTAATAACTTTAAACTGCAGTAAGACTTTGGGGCTGGGAAGCTAGGTGGCCCAGAGTCAGGGGGACCAGAATTTGAATCCTGGCCTCAGACTAGCTATGTGACTCTTGGGCAGATCACTTCACCTGGTTTACCTCAGTTTCCTCATCTGTAAAATGAGCTGGAGAAGGAAATGGCAAACCGCTCCAGTATCTTTGCCAAGAAAACCCCAAATGGGGTCACATAGAGTCAGACATGATTGAAATGACTAAAACAACATTTTTGAGACACCCTGTATATGGGTGTATTCACATATATTTTCCACAAACATATGTGTGTGTGTGTGTGTGTATAATATATATATATATATGTATGTATGTATAATAAACACAGAGGAGTCAAGGTATGGGGGGTGGGGGGGAGTGGAGGCGCTAGTAGCTAGGACAGATCGGGAAAAGCCCCAGGTAGAAGGTGAGAGAAGAGAAGGTTCCCCCCTCCTCACCTGAGAGCAGCATAGGAGAATGAATAGCCCACAAAGGGTAAGTGTATACCCAGTGGGGGGCTTTCTATCAGGTCAGACAGTGTCTCCTGGAAGGAAAGAGAAGGGGACAGGCTTAGGGAAGCTCTGCCCAGTGCCTAGTGGAGGCCCACAAACCCAAGATGAGGAATCCAGGCTTCCCAACACTGGCTCCCAGACCCACCCTCATCCCCGTCTCCTTGAATGACAGCTAGCTCGAGGCCAGTGTAAAATGACCAGACAGTCTGGACAGTTCTTTTTGGTTCACAGTCCATGGTTTTCCAGGAGCTGAACTAGAGAACTTTTAGGGACTATCCCAGGCCTGAGGTTCTAAAACTTCATAAAACAAACTTCACGAAGAAATCTCCTGGATTCAGCACTTGAGGACCTAGAGGGCCACGTGTGGTCTAGAGGCTGCAGGTTCCCCACCCTGTAATCTAGAATTATTCATGCAAGGAGCATGTATTGGGAAATTGGAGGTGGGGGGGAGGTCATTTAAGGACATCCCTAAACTTCACTACTTACTAATGTTGATATATGCTTGCTCAGAAACTTCAGCCTGACAGAGCTGACCAGGAAACAAGAAGAAATCTTCCTTACTTATTGTCCTCTGCCCCTGCCCCTACCCTGGTCTAATGCTCCCCAAGCCTTAAGCATCCTGTTGGCTCTGAGGTGACCAGATGAGCTCAGGTTCTTGGCAAGCTGGGGACCCAAGCGGGGCCCCTGGGGGAGGCTGATAGGCGGGGCCGGGGTACGTACCCCACCCCCGCTCACCATGGCCGTGAGCCCGTCATCCACCAAGTCGAAGTTGCAGGTGTCCGTGGCTCCGGAAAAGTCAGGAACGAAGGGGGGAGAGCTGTCCCGAATGCCCTCCCAGTCGAGTCCCTGGAAGAACGGATGACCTCGGAAGTCCCCGGCCCCAGACCGTCCTAGCCGTACCTCCCGTGGGC